CCATCAAACCATCCTTTATGATTAGCAGTGATGATTGTCACAATTTCTGAAAACATGATACAACAACTTGACACACCTGGTGTGATGTGCAGTAGTTTCATTAGTGGGATTCATGCAGATTGAACAAGTTCCATGTTGGGAAATGAGAATACATTTTCTGAAAACACATTTTAAGTAACTGTATTGTAGTACAGTTACTCTTTCCTTTGGTGGTACTCAGAATACAGTTACTTTTTAAAAAATGCTGCTCTTGATTTTCCTTCTATAATTAGACCAAAATAAATGCACAACAGAGTGCACCAAAAAACAAGCTGTTTGAAAAGATATGTTTTATACTATTGTATATACTATTATATAAGGCAACTTGTGTAAAAGTAATACAGTACTTGTTAATGCAGGTCTTCAGTATTTGGTAACTAAATACACTGCCAAAGTATTCTTAACAGCCCTGGTAATGTCAGTCTGAAGGAGGAGTGACTTAGTGCAGGAGCAGGGGAGAGACTCAGAGCATCAAAAATGAAAGTAGTTACAAGGCAAATATAGCACTTTCAAAACACTAAAAGGTAACATGGTGATGTAAACATGTTTTGTGCAAGTAGTTAATGCCCTTAAAAGTGTAAGATCCCTCCTGAAACTGTGCCTCTGAGAATTCAGTACAGTTCAGACATCTGCTGCAGGCACAGCTCCTCCACTTGAACATAAACACTTCCAAAGTGCTTTGTGCATGAGTCTGCATTAGAACACAGACACATCCAATATGTTTTGTGCATATTATATAATAATATATTCTATATTAGTGCTAAACCTCATATCAGAACTGTCCTAAGGGAGAAGGGAACACAATGTGTGCACCACATGTGCCACAGGTCCCTGGGGAAATTCACTTATGAATGCTTCATAAATGTGCTGAAAAACAGTTTATTTTTAGCAGTGGGTTCTGTGATCAGGGTGACCCAGCCAAGAACTGTTGCACTTGATTATAATGACAATAGTCATCCATTTTATATAGTGCTTTCAGTAAACCTACAGACACTTTACAGAGAAACAAAACTGACAACTGAATATTGTGGCCTTAATAATATTTATCCTGATTTCAACTTAGTGTGTTTTTGTAGAACCCAAAATCACAGCAGCAGTCAGCTCTTAGGGCTTAATAACATTTAACCAACAGAAAGTTTGAGAATCCAACAGTGAAACAGACATTGGTCAATAACAAACAACAGACAACAGACAGACAACCTCACAGTTAACAAGCACATTGAGAAGTGTTCCAGAGCGCCCCCTGTCCTTTAGACCCTTCTCCTGCAGGAAGAGCTCACAAAAAACTCAGTGGAAAAAAACTGAATCCATGAGAAGTACCACAGTGAAAGAAAGATCCTCTACACAGAGTGTTTTGTGGAGCTGGAGCATATTATTGAATATAATATTGAGCAGACCAGGGGTACAGCGTTCTGTGGGTCACTACATTGATCATATTTACATTTCCACCGTTTCTTCCATACCCTTTCCCTACACTTATAACACTTTAATGTGGTTGGTTATTTTCTTAAAGGTCTAAGTACTAACAATATTAAACCTAAAGCAGTCTCGCTCTGAAAGCCCCACCACACACTGGGCCCCTCCCCATACACTCTTATTCAGAAGACTGTGAAAGACTAAGCCTAAAGGTATTTTATCAAAGTCTAACTATTATGTACGCTAAGTTCATTTAAATATATGTGTGCTCTTGTGCTTCTGATCTCCTCTACATGATTTGATCTCTGTTACATGATCTGATCCCCTCGAGATGATCTGATGACGATGAGCACAAACAGAAGCATACATCTGCAGCAGGTAAGAGTTCACTGAGCACATGAGTCTGAGAGTGACTGTGAGCATCTATGAACTGCAAAGTCATAAACATGGGCTTTTAGGCTTCAGATACTAAGGCCCAACAAGTGTAGCCACTAGAGGGGCACGCCCACTGGCTGCACTATCACAGAACAGGCTCCTCGTGTGTAAAGATCTCCTGCTCAAAAGGGTTGGATGGTTTTCAGAGTCTCAAACCTAATAAGTAGCCTACAAAGCATTGACGTGTTACATCTTCCCCAACGACACAATCTAAAACAAAACCAGTGTGCTTCTAAAGTTTGCTACAATAAACTGTGCAAAGAGGTTCTCTGCCGCCACCTGCTGTTGAGTGGACACATGTGCACCTGCTTTAGAAGCTGTGTGCACACAGGAGACACTGGGAAGCAGTAGGTCACCATCTCCCACAATGTGCCAGTTCATAGTGTGTAGGATCTTAGACACATTTTGATAATATATCAGGAGTGTACAGACTCAAAAACACATAAGACAGACAAAAAAACAAAAACAAAACAAAACAAAAAACCAGTGGCAATATTAAACCAAAAAGGTCAAACAAAATAGAGCACATATTATTCATATTCTTCACTTAAGCGTTTATTGGTTTGATAAAGTATTTAAAAAGGTCCAGTGCACAATAGAAATAACTGTTAGACTCGACTGACTGCTAACATAACATAACAGTTAGTCTCTGCCCTTATAGTGTCATTGTATCATTTGGCAAGACACCACACACCACACGTGGGCTTTGTGATCTGTTGTGGTGAGGTTGTGGTCAGAGGTTGTTGGTTGAAAAGCATCCACAAATGCTTCTTGTTTTTCAGTTTCAGTTTTTTGCTACTGCATTGGTAGAAAAAAGTCACTCTTAGGCCCCTGAGGACATAGTCGTGTCCACTTACAAAAACAGCCGAAAATCATGACAAAGTCATATTTTTTCATACATTTTTTACTAAATTTTTTACTATCCCTGCTCTAATCAAAAATACATATTAAAAATGTAATACATGTTTAACCCTTCAAATGACAGTTTGAAGTACATCTGACCTAAATGAACTCTCAAATTAAGATACTGTATCTTGCAGAAAAGTGCAGCTCTGTGAAGAGACAAGCAGGACTGTGTGCATGTCCTCAGGGTCCTTAGCGTGACCATGTGTGGACAGTGGGACATATGAGACTGGCATTTCTTTAGTCAACCTTTTGGCTGCTCCTGATCTTTGGTTTGGGCACAATTCCAGTGTGAGCTCCAGTGCAGCCCACAGGACTAAACCAGGACTAAACCTGGACTATGCCGGGATCATACCAGGACTATACCAGAAATATACAAGGACCAAACCAGGATTTAACCCAGACTAAACCAGTATTATATCAGGACTAAACCAGGACTAAGCCAGGACTAACATGAGTTAAACATGTGTGAATGAAATAAAACACGACTCCAGGTCTGTTTGTTGAAGAAATGACATTAGAACATAAGTCAGAAACAGTGCAATGTAATGTACTGGGCCCTTTTACTGATCCCACTTTTTTTTTATTTTAGTTGAATCCAAAACATATAATACAGACTTCAAACTATATATAATACAAACTTCAAGTCAAGTTGTAAAAAGGCTGGTCAATATTAGGGATGCACCAACCTGATACTGGTATCTGATATCGGTGCTGATACTGAAAAAAGCGGATATCAGCTTCCAAATATCAGTTCAGTCGATATCCTGGCTGATTATGGGATGTCTCATAGCTCTGTACCGCTGGCTATGGTTAAGGAGATATGATCCCTCCATCCATTTTCATCCACTTTATCTGGGGCCGGGTCATGGAGTCGGGCAGGAAGGCCCAAACTTCCCTCTCAACACATACTTCCTGCAGCTCTTTCTGGGGGATTCTGAGGCGTTCCCAGTCCAGACCAGACATAATCCCTCCAGCGTGTCCTGGGTCTTCCCCGGGGCCCCCTCCTGGTGGGACAGATGTGCAGGAGACATCTGGAACAGATACCCTCACCTCAGCTGCTCCTCTTCAGTGAATGATCTAACAATACCTCTAAGGGAGTGTTCACCCACCCAGTGGAGGAAACTCATTTAAGCGCTTGTATTCATGATCTTGCCTTTTCAGTCATTACCCAAATCTTGGCCATAATTGAGGGCAGGATTTAATGCAGATGGGGGCAGCTAAAGAGAATATAGCTGGATTGCAGAGTATTGTTGTGATACAGTGAGTTCTTGGGTCTAGTCTCAGGTTCAACATTTATGAATGTACTTTTGGATATTTCATGGCAAAGTGCAATATAATTAACAGGAAAAACTGTCTCTTGCCCCATATTTGGGAGTAAGATGTCATCACATTCTCGAATCTGAGCAATAAATAAATAAATGAAGGCTTGGGAACATTTGGACACCACATCCCAGTTTTGAATTTTGAAAATCCGGTCACCTTCATTTGGAGAGGAGTTCCAGTTTTACAGTGGCAATAGGAATTTATATAATAATAGCATAATTTATTATTATGGACAAAATAGCAAAATAAAAACACCAGGATCATGTAGAGCAGGGTAATATGAACATTTTAAGACCAAAAGGCTCACAGTAGCAGTGACAGAGAGAGAGTGACTTTTTCTTTCTTTTTTAAAATGTAAAGTATGTACGTTTATTTAGTGCTTTTCACAGACATATGTCACAAAGACACTTTACTGTGCATTATTCACTCACTCCACACTCAGTTGTGGTAAAGTACAAATGTAGCCACAGCTGCCCTGGGGCAGACTGACAGAAGTGCAGCTGCCAATCTGCACCATCAGCCCCTCCGACCATCACCATCACTTATGCACTTTCACTCACTTTCATACTAGGCAATGTGTGTGAAGTATCTTGCCTAAGGACACAGCAACAGTTTTTTCCACTGGTGCCCCTGTGGCACCTGGTGTTCCCACTGGTCTCCCATCCAAGTCCTGACCAGACCCTGCCCTGCTGAGCTCCTGAGATCTGACGGTATAGCCACAAAGTCAATGAGACCGAGTTTCAGTGGAGCCGGAAGCACCTCCATGCTCATTTCCTATTTGCCAACCGCCGCGTTGTAATATCATAGTTGTTTTTCTTTTCCACAGTGTGGAGCAGTCTGGACTTGTGTGCCTTTATTGTGACGGCGCGGCCGGGCGGAGGGCGGATGTCCGGTGTGTGTGGAGCCTCCTCCCGTCGTTAGCGCTGCTGCTGCTGCTGCTCTGTGCTCTGGTGCTCTGTGCTCTGTGCTCTGTCCATGGAGACAGCGCTGCCAGAGGCTGCCTGGCCCCGGGATTAGCCTGGTTGTTGCGGGCTGTTGTGCGGGCACTGCAGCCCCCGTCGTGGAAGCCGAAGGTCGGAGCAGGGACACGAGCAGCGGAGCTCCGCATCGCTCCGCTCCAGCGAGCCGCCTCCTCTCCGGTAGCCTGTAGCCTGTTAGCTTGTGGGCTGGAGTACAGATTGTGTTGTTGATGTACGTGACGAGACTCGGGTCTGCTTTTCCACGGCCGCTGTTTGTCAGACTCGGTGTAAAAGCAGTGTGCGGTGGTCTGAGGTGAGCTCCGGGGCTTCTCTCGGTGTTAGACCTCAGTAATGGCCGGAAACCCGCGGAGAGGCGCCGGGCTGATCGGGCTGATGAAGGACGCCTTTCAGCCGCAGCAGCAGCCCCAGCAGCCGCACCAGCCCGCCGCGGTCGACAAGAAAATGGTGGAGAAATGCTGGAAGCTCATGGACAAGGTGAGTTCTGTCCGCACTGAAGTGTGTAGTGACTGTGTGACATGTCAGGCAACGACATGTCTGTGATCAGTTTGATCTAGTTACTTTTATTCCGTCTGTCTCACACTTCTGTGTCCTGTCTCACCTCTCTGTGTCCTGTCTCACCTCTCTCTGTGTCCTGTCTCACCTCTCTGTGTCCTGTCTCACCTCTCTCTGTGTCCTGTCTCACCTCTCTCTGTGTTCTGTCTCACACTACTGTGTCTGTCTCACACTACTGTGTCCTGTCTCACATCTCTGTGTCCTGTCTCACCCTCTGTGTCCTGTCTCACCTCTCTCTGTGTCCTGTCTCACCTCTCTGTGTCCTGTCTCACACTACTGTGTCCTGTCTCACACTACTGTGTCCTGTCTCACACTACTGTGTCCTGTCTCACACTACTGTGTCCTGTCTCACCTCTCTCTGTCCTGTCTCACCTCTCTGTGTCCTGTCTCACCTCTCTGTGTCCTGTCTCACCTCTCCTGTCTCACACTACTGTGTCCTGTCACACTACTGTGTCCTGTCTCACACTACTGTGTCCTGTCTCACACTACTGTGTGCTGTCTCACACTACTGTGTCCTGTCTCACCTCTCTCTGTGTCCTGTTGCAGAGCCCTCTCTGTTTGTCCTATGTCATACCTCTCTCTCTCTCTCTCTCTGTCCTGTCACAGCTCTGTCTCTGTGTCCTGTCTCACCCCCCTGTGTCCTGTCTCACCCCCCTGTGTCCTGTCTCACGCCTCTGTGTCCTGTCTCACCTCTCTCTGTGTCCTGTCTCACTCCTCTGTGTCCTGTCTCAGTGACCTGTTGTTATAGCCTGTAGTTGGAGTTCTTGTGGTGCAGCATGACACTTACGTCAGTTTTTGGGTTTGTTGTTATTCTCAGTCGGTGAGATGTTTATGATCAGGTGACCTGCTTGGCGATACTAATGGCCATTTTTATGAAGTATTAACTACATTGAATTTGAATTTGAATTTATTTATTTGGAGGATAAGCCCCTTGAGATGTGTCACCATCTCGTTTTCAAGGGGGTCCTCATAAATACAACAACAAAAGACAGACACAGTAGGACAGACAGTAGGAGACATAAATTCAAATAAGCATCAAAACAACAAAATCAACACAAACACACACACACACACAGTCACACTCACTCACGCTTGACTGTTTCACACATAATAAAACAAATTTGAAAAAAATTAAATAAAATAAAAATAAATAAATAAAATAATAATAATAGTAATAATAGCAATAATAATAATAGACAAAGATAATCACAGGATACAACAAGATAAACAACAAAATTCAACAAAATAATCAAAAACAATTACATGGGTTATGTAAATGTTGAACCAGAGCATTTTTAAATAAAGGGACAGAAGTTAAAGCTCGAATCGATGAGGGAAGATTGTTCCAATCAGAAGGAGCTTTATATTTAAATGAGTGTTTTCCTATTTGTTTTTTGACTCTTGGGACAACAAAAAAAATCTGATCTGCATGACGTAAACTATAAGAAGAGCTAAATGGAATTAAATACTGTTTAAGATATTCAGGATAACTGAGATTAATACATTTAAAAATAAATAATAACCAGTGAAGTTGACGTCGGGAGGACAGATTAAGCCAGGACAGTTGGTGATACATGGTACAGTGGTGAGTTCTGAAGGGACAGCGGAGAATGAATCTGCACAGACTGTTCTAGATAATGTTGAGTGGTTGGAGAATAGAAGTTGTAGTATTTTGATAAATGATATCGCAGTAATCTAAAATGGGAAAAATTAGTTGTGAAATAATCTTTTTCCTAACAGAAAAGCTAAAACAACTGATGGACTGATAAAGAAATTTTAAGCGATATGGAATTTTGTTTGTAATAGTTGGAATATAATGGAGAACTCTACACATCAAATTCTCCAAACATAACGGCACAGATGATTCCAAATGGCACACAGCAGTATATCTGAACATTAGGAAGTGCTCTTTTCTGGCCCGTGTGGCTCTGTTGTTATGCATTTACAGGTACATCTTCAGATGGGGTTACTGTGCCTTTTATATGAACTCACATGTTTCACACTGGGACTGTAGTCTGTGGTAAAAATGTAGCATATAGTATTATTTTACAACAGCTAAATGCCACTAAATGTAAAAAAAAAATAAAATAAAATAAAATATATATATATATATATATATATGTATATATATGTCTCATGAGATTTTTTTTTATTAAGAAAGGTCATGTAACGGAGGGAAAAGTAACAGAGGGAAAATTGTTCAAGCAAGTAGAAGGTGCATGATTTTACATCATTTGTCGCTTTTTTCTTCCGAATACTTTAATATTACTTCAAAATGAAAGGAAACTATTTCTATAAAATATGTCAGTCCTTCCAAGCTAATTTTTATCATTTAACATTTTTTTTTTTTTTTTTTTTAAATCCTGTACCTTCAAAGATGGAATAACGCAAGATATGATGAAATACATCCATTTATTGACATGATTTGCAGGTCTTTGAAATTTGGGAAATAATTTTTGTTCCATGTTTGATACATGGTCTGTTTAAAACATATGGAACTTTAGAACCAAAAATGGTGCAGAAAAAAGGTCAACAGTTTCATAAACTCTAGAGTACATATGTATCTGTTGAATACATTTTTATATCAGATGAATTAACTTGAATTTTTTTTATAAGGGACAATATCAATAATGTTGAATTCTCTCGTCAATTTTCATACATAAGGCACTCAGGATTATAAAGCGCACTGTCGATTTTTGAGAAAATTAAAGGATTTTAAGTGTGCCTTATAGTCCGAAAAATATAGTATATGATGCGTCTTCCTCCTTGTAACCTTAAATTGTCCCCCCTGTGCGCCCCCCGTATCTTCCCTGTGTTTTCCAAGGTGGTGCGTCTCTGTCAGAACCCTAAAGTGGCTCTGAAGAACAGCCCCCCGTACATCCTGGACCTGCTGCCTGACACCTACCAGCACCTGCGCACCGTCCTGTCCCGCTACGAGGGCAAGATGGATGCCCTGGGGGACAACGAGTACTTCCGCGTCTTCATGGACAACTTGACCAACAAGACCAAGCAGACCATGGGCCTGTTCAAGGAGGCCAAGGAGCGCATGTACGAGGAGAACTCCCAGCCCAGGCAAGTGCACCATACAGATCCTGCAGCCAAATGACTACGGTCCATTTGTTACACTTATTTTACGTTTTCTGATCTGCTACAATGATGTATGTTAATGGTCCTATATTTCAGAGCGTGGATTCTTGTGAGCATTAAGATATACTGTTGTTACCGCATCAAAAACATGCCCACACATGTTTGAGTAACCCTTTACTATTAGTCAGGTCTACATCTTCAAAGCTTAGAATGTTCTGTTCCACCTTGTGGTGTAGTGTCAAGTAGTTTTCAAGTTAACAGATACCTTACCAGCTTTTGTTCAGTAGAATTTGGCAATGGCAAGGGCTGAAATCATATAATCTAGTGAAGGTGTATGGAGTTTAAAACACAGCGTAAAACTTTCTGTATTACCACATCAGAAGGTGGAACAAAGTGTTTTCAGTTTGAGCGAAAAACACAATCTAAATATCCAGGGGTTGTGTGTTTAACATATGTGAATGGAACCAAACACAACCCCAGGTCTGTTTGTGATAAGAAAACAACATTATAACATAGATCATAAAATAGCATAATATGGGCCCTTTAAAACTAATCCGATACACATTACATATATCACATCATGCACAAGCCTGGAGATGTTTGTGAAAAACAGACTTCATATGAAAGTCCTGTTCCCATAACATTTACTGATGGAGAAATAGAAAATAGAGAAAATGCAACATGCTCTAACTGATGTGCAGAAGTTGTTTATTCACAGCAGATTATTTCACTCATTTCATTGTACTAAACACTGTCAAATCTTTGGTTAAATTTAACACTTTTAAATATGCAAACAGTGCTTTGCAAAAAGCATTTGAGGTTGTTTTAAGAGAAAATCAGTATGAAAAAGCTTATTTAACTCCAGTAGAATTTGTTCATTATGGCTGACACGCTTAGTTTCTATGGGAATTCTCAGGCACTGTCTCTGCCAGTACGGACAGCTGCGCTGTTACATGTAGCGGGCATGTGTTCTTGGGATCTGGACACCTCAATCGTACTTCCTGGATTTACATGCATTTTGAAAATCCTGTTTCCATGATCTATATAAATCCCGTTTACATTAGAGTAGCCCTTTCTCCAGTTCTCCTGACATGTCTGTGGACACGGTGCTGGAACCTGCAGGGCTAACAGAGAAACACTAAAACCAGGGCCCAGAATGATCTGCTCTACCCCATATTCAATGTGAAATCATTTTGGAGCACACTGCCCTAGTGTGACCTGCTGTCACCGAGTCCCGGGTCTTGGTTCCCTTCTGGTCCTGTCTGTGGAAATGCCAGCTCTGCACAATCACTCTCACTTCCTCTGTCTCCAACAGTTCACTCCCATCACTCACTCTTCTGATCTGAGTCATGAGCAATGTTAGCAAAATGATGAGATCTTTGATTAATTCTGAAGAATGACTATCTAACTGAACTGTAACAAATACAAGGTCTTCCACATCAACATTTCTTTTTTGTTTACACATTATAAAAAATTGGTAGGTGGACTTTCAAATGCCATTAAAACATTACCATTAACTGATGGCTGAATAAAGCACATATAAATAAGTGAGATTAGTTGTGAAACAATGGGCTGACCATATCCCATTTCCTTTCTTGTTGACTTCATTGAGGGCATGGTGCCAAATACTGCTGCACTTAATGAGGAGAAACTGTGATATTAAAAACAGGTTTTATAATGATTAAAAGGCATTACTGACATCAAAGGGGTTGAAGATGTATAGAGAAAGTGTAGCAGTTATGTTTTTGGGGATGTGCTTAGCAACAAATAATGAGGATAAGTACTGAGTACTGCCTACAGTAAACAGTCTAATGCAGAACAGAAACTTGAGTATTCCTCCACACAGTACAGTGTCTTCATTTTTGTGGTTTAGGTCAGTTCATTTTTTATGCTGTACTTGAATCTCAATTGACACAAACTTTTTGATTGCCAAACAAAAAAATAAATAAATAAACAATGTTAATGCAAATGTAGCTTTTAATGATGACAGTTGTAGTGCTGATTTATTGTTTGTTCTAATTTGTTGTTTGGATCTCGACGATTATCAGTCAGAAAGCAGAGTGAGCCTCACATATTTAGAAGGAGCGATTCCTCTGGCCAGACAGTGAGTTTTACCCATTAACAGTCTTCTGCTACTTTACATTGTTCTCGGAATAATCCATGAAATGATTAAAGGGTCTGTAGCTAACCCTCAAACCATGAGGGATATACAGTATTTTAGTCATGGATCTGTCATAAGAACTGCATAAAACACCCTGCTCTGTCCTGTGTGAGTTCGACTATTGGCCGTACAGTTTATACTTTACAGCTGTTGTCATTAACATTCCCTGGGGTAGTGATGCTAACTGTAGGCACTGCTCTGTCAGAAACTAATCGACTTTAATCTGATCTTTATTTTAACACAATCTGAACAAAAAGAGTTGATTTAGTTGGAGCTACAACAGGTCTGGGGTAGTGTGGATAGATGTGGTTGTTTCCTTATAGTTCTTCAACCTCTGACTTCTGTTCACTTTTTTAACACTCTTGAAAATACACCATGACAGAGAATCAAGTGTCTGTCTGCCGTTGTTTACTTTTTCATGAATCTTTGTAATAAAATGCCTGACTGGACAAAAAAAATATATATTTCGTATTTAGCAGCTTTTTCTGTATATGCAGTTTTTACTGTATATGCATGATGTCAAAAGCATTTAAAGAGCAAGAATAAATTAAAGGTACATCATTTGATGTAGTCCTGGTTTAGTCCAGGTACAGGTCCTTTAAATTCTGCATATGGTCCAACACCTTAAACCTCTAACCCTAATCCCTGACTTTTGTTCCAGGAGGAACTTGACCAAGCTGTCCCTGATCTTTAGCCACATGCTGGCTGAGCTCAAAGCCATCTTCCCCAACGGACTGTTCCAAGGAGACAACTTTAGGATCACCAAAGCTGACGCCGCAGAGTTCTGGAGGCGCTCCTTTGGGGACAAGTGAGTCCAAAGTCCCAATGTCCAGCTTTTAGGCATACTGCCAGCTCCATAAACAACCCTTGAAAATAAAAGCACTAAACATTCTGACATAATATAGACTTAGGTGACTACATTCACAAAACTACATCTGAAATCTTCCAAAACAAAAAAGTATAGTTAAATCAAATCAGTATAACTACAGTTTTATCAGTGGTGATTAGTTTATTATTTATAGAACATGTATTATGTGAAACTATCTTTAATTATGTTATACTGTTGTCACCTCATCAAAAACAATCTTAGGCAGGATTACCTTAACTCTAGGATTTTTACTTCTTTGGAGCTGTAGCATTTGAGATAAGATAATGTCTGAACTAGAATCCTATGCATTTCAGAACAACTAATAATGATCCACGAGTGTCATAGATTATAAGTACATAGCAGACAGAAGCACAATATGTTGTCTTTAAAGATGGAACATATTTAGATCACCATGTTACCCTTTATCGCTTTGAAATTTGAATCACTGGATTACTCAAACATGCATGGATGACATGTAAAACCTCTTCAGACATGTTTTGATGAGGGTAGAACATTATAACCTGGTACTATCCTCCAAAAAACAGGACCATCGTTCCGTGGCGCATGTTCCGTCAGGCCCTCCATGAGTTCCACCCCATCAGCTCAGGCCTGGAGGCTATGGCCCTCAAGTCCACCATCGACCTCACGTGTAACGACTACATCTCAGTGTTCGAGTTTGACATCTTCACCAGACTCTTCCAGGTACCAAACACAACAGCTCAACTCTCACAAGGTCCTTTCTGTGATTGGCTACTCAGTTTGTCAGTCCTCCATCCATCAAGATTTAATTTAAATTGCATGTAACGAGTGACAATTGTATTTAAGATTTGACTAACAACCTTGCCTGGCTTTTTCTAGTTTGACTTCCTGGTGGGAGCCTAGACAGCAGATATGGCATATGCAGAAGTAATCCCTTAACTGTTGGCTAGCAGCAATGCCCTTTTTTGTGCATGAATTGTCACTGCGTTTTGGATGGAGTTTTCCATTTTAATAACATAGGCAGAGGGATTGTTTGTAGAGTTTTACAACTCAGTGCTACTTTGTCTCTGTGTGTGTCTCTGTGTGTCTCTGTGTGTGTAGCCCTGGTCGTCTCTGCTGAGGAACTGGAACAGTCTGGCGGTCACTCACCCGGGGTACATGGCCTTCTTGACCTACGACGAGGTGAAGGCGCGCCTGCACAGGTTCATACACAAGCCCGGCAGGTGAGGGCGCTATACCCACAAACTCTAGCTCACCTCCCATTTCCTCCTGTTTACTCTGAGCGCACACACTTATTCATGTACTATCAAAGTTTACCCGGAGAGGAAGAAGCAGCAGCTCTCTGGTAGAGATGATATCATGCATATTTGATGTGAGTAATCAGAAGCACTGATCAGAAAGGAAGTAGTTCATTTTTCTTTTTACATATAATTTTAATCATTATAAAACTTCAAAAATCTCACAATAATGTCTCAAGTTAAGCGTGCATGTAACTGCAGCGACTGACCAAGTTATGGGGTAGAGTTCTGATCAGAGTTTCCAGTCAGATCACACTGTAGAGGTGCCTCTGCTGGATTCATGCTGACCTCTTCTGGCCTGAAATGCATTGTAATGTGTAGAATTGCAAAGTGTAAAATGGTGTGGTTGGCTTTTATGAGTGAGACAAGTGCAGACCGTTGTGCAGTTCTAAACCTGACCCAGTGTTCCATTCTCTCAGCTACATCTTCAGGCTGAGCTGCACGCGGCTGGGGCAGTGGGCCATCGGGTACGTAACCGCGGACGGCAACATCCTCCAGACCATCCCCCACAACAAGCCCCTGTTCCAGGCTCTGATCGATGGCTACAGGGAGGGATTGTGAGTGCACCACACACATCCCACTAGTCTTACCACCAGAGCTGAGATTAGAATAGTTTAAATTTGCACAGACAGTTATAGATATATAAAAATATCTTCTGTAGATACATGTTTCATATTCTGTGTACAAGCTGCTAACTCACTACAAACTACAAACATGTTATGAAATGTCCCTGGGTGTCAAATGCTGTCCCTGTTTCACCACGGGGTCTTATTCTGTGTAACAGCAGCTAACCCTGTAGGTTAGAAATGCATGTGTCTTCTCTCACATCTTAATGAAATTAACTGATTCTTGATTTGAAAATTGAAATTTGGGTACTGCATAAAAGAAATCAGTGTCTTTTTGGATTGATTTACTGAATGATGCAGTTTATTAATATATTTGTGTATTTTTTACCAGTGTGTGCAAGTACTAAAGAAAGTAGATATAGCAGTGTTTAGGCTAGCAACAGCAGTAATGGGTGGGCCTGATATAAATCAGATGTGGGGCTGCAACAAGTTCATCTTTTAATAACAACTAATCAATGACTAAATTAGTTAATGATTATTTCAGTAATTGAATAATCATTAACTGGTCTATGTTTAGGCTTCAAAATATGCCAAGAACTGAGAGAAGAGGCTTTAGGGCATTGACATAGGAGTAGAATAGCAATACAAATACAAATACAAATGACACAACAGGAAGTGTTTAGTTGTAGTGTTTTTGATTAATCAAATGAAACAGAAAAAGCACACCAAGGTTCCTCTAAAGGTGCAAATGCAAGGAACAGTAAAATAAAAGTGAAAAAATGCATAGCACACTCAGATGGCTGATATCCAAAAGCTTTTTAAAATGTTTTTAATAACGAAAAATAAAGGCAATAAAGCCTCCGTCAGATCATTTTTCTTGTTTGGACCACAGTATACAAAATGGTTGCCAGCCCAGGTGCTCATATCCCCCTCCAACAGAGTGAGGTCACCCAGTGAGGTCAGCCCACTCTACAGATATTAGATATTTACATGAAACCATTCTCACAAAATATAAAAATAGTTTGACCATATCACAAAAAGCATCTTAGGTCATGTTAATGTGTCTCATTAAACTAATTCACCAAAGGGCCCATATTACACTATTACCTGATCTGTTATTATGTTGTTTCAACACAAACAGTCCTGGAGTTGTGTTTTGTTTCATTTACACATGTTTAACATGAACAAACCCTGCTTCCCTCAAACAGAAAAGACCTTGTTCCACCTTGTGATGTCATGTGGTAATACAGGAAGTGTACTCCTTACACCTTTACTGAATCATCTGGATAATTTAAACCCTGGAATTGTCATGAAGCAGTAGTTTTAACAGCTACTTTTTTGGCATCACAAGGTGGTCTCTATATAAATGGAAACGGTGAACTTGCAGCTGCAGTACATTGGGCACTTCCAGCTGTATTGACTCCAACTCCAATTGATTTTACTTTGAAAAATGATCATCCCTCTCTCTGTAACTGCTGCTGAGAGCCTCATCATTTTGGTTTTAAAATGTTCACATTAACCCTCTCTACATGATCCTTGCGTCTTGTTTTTTGTTTTTGCTATTTTGTCCATAGATAAATTCCTTTTCCTAATATGGAACTCCTGTTTATTTTTTGAGTGAGACAAACACTCGGCCTAAATATGCAGGATTTGTAGGTTTAAATGTGTGAATGAAACAAAACAAGGTCTGTTTGCGTAATAGAGGATCTAATAATTGTGTAATTGTGTGTGTGTGTGTGTATTTGTGTTTGTGTTTGTGTGCGTGCACACGCAGTTACCTGTTTCCAGATGGCCGCGCGCAGAACCCTGACCTGAGCGGCCTGTGTGAGCCTTCTCCTCAAGACCACATTAAAGTGACTCAGGTAAGAGTGTTCTGTCGCTGCAGCCTGCACAGAGGAGGTGCTCTCAACATGGCCAAATACTTCAAAACTATATATATCCTATCACATGCAGTAACTTTTATGTTCTGCCATGCAGTTGTTATATTCACATGTTTGTAGGGATGGGCCCATATGGATATTTTGCACCAATACCAATGAGATCTTCTATAGCAAGGCCAAGAAATGTTCACAGATTACATCCTATACTACTGTACTGCTTAAAGTACAGTCATTAATAACAAGCTTTATCTCGGTTTTAAATGACCATACTACAAATAGGCCAATATATCGGGCAATTATTTGTGCTTTTTACACCCGCTTCTGCCCCACATGTACACCCACCTCTGCCCCACACAAACTCCTGGGTTAGGATGAGGGTCCCCCGCTCTGACTGTGGGCTGTGTGTGACGTTGGCCTGTGCTGTGTACAGGAGCAGTATGAGCTGTACTGTGAGATGGGCTCCACGTTCCAGCTGTGTAAGATCTGTGCAGAGAACGACAAGGACGTGAAGATCGAGCCGTGCAGACACCTCATGTGCACCTCCTGCCTCACCGCCTGGCAGGTACGACTCTTCTCAGTGTTCTGTTTTACTATATTACAGTTTAGTTACAGATATCAATATTAAAAATAGTAACCAAACCATGTGCTCATTTGGGGATTGATACCAAAAAGTCCCATTCACAGGACAGAAGCAGCAGTGGAAAAAGTAAATAGTTAGATTACTTGTCACTGGTAAACACCGTTATACTTAAACGCATTATTTCCACATACTGTGTTGAAAGAGTATGAATGTTCTGTTCTTTTTCTTTGTGTAGTACATGCTGCTGCTCTGTTTGGAGCAGGATGAAGAAGTCACATATTAAATGTATTTAGAATAGTTGTTAATTAGTTAAATTGTCTAAATTAAACACTGAAATGAAACAAAACTGACTTAATAATATTTAAATAATAATATCTAAATGACCACTGCACTGGTGATTAGGGCTAGACAATTACATAGGAATTGAACTGTGATTGGTCTCTACTTACCCTACATTCATTGATATAAAAAAAAGAGAGGCAGAATGATTTGGTCCTGTTACAAAATGGAAAAGTGTAACTAGTGTGTACAAGTATTTGTGTTGTTGTTGATGACTGTTTTGCTGCAGGAGTCCGAGGGTCAGGGCTGCCCGTTCTGCCGCTGTGAGATTAAAGGCACAGAGCCCATCGTGGTGGACCCCTTCCACCCTAAGGCCAGCGGGGTTTCCTTCGGAGGGTTCCAGGGGGCGAGCCGAGCGGAGGCAGCGGCTAACGATGATGACGATGACGAGCGCCTGGAAGAGCAGATCCTGGTCATGAGCAGACTGGCCTGCTCCAAGGTCAGCCCAGGACCACTGTGGTCTGATCAGAGCTCTGGGAACTGTTCAACAAGATATACTGTGCTTGTGTCTGCTGTATAGTTGTAATCTATGACACTCGTGCTTCATTATGTGATATCATTATATGAATTTGCACATTTTAATTCCAAATATTGATCTAAAAATCCTGTGACTTCTGCATTAGAAAACTGCATTACATCACAAAGACCTACATGCTGTCAGCCTTTCCTTTAGAAAGTAACAGATCAAACTAGTGAGAAACAGATTTTTTTCCATTTGTACTAAAATTACTGCGTGATGCTGCCTACGTTGTATCACTAAATAAAAACAAAATATATATTTATATATATTAGAAGGGGGTACTACAGCTATACATTTAGATCACCATGTTACCTTTTAATGTTTTCAAAATACTATATTCACAGAAAACAACATATTAACATGTTTTCTAACTACAATATTCTATAATAAAATGACTATACTATACTAAGTATACTATTAAAAAAAAAAAAACTATAATATATATTAAGTTTCACTTTTGTTTTTGATATTGCGCCAAGTCAGAGTGATATCACAAAACAATTAGCATGGGTCACTTAGGCTTGTGGGCTGAACATCACAAAGAATCTTACAGCTAACTGTAAGAAGGGTTTGAATAGGGCCCAGAAGAGATCACTAGATTACTCAAACATGTATGGAAGACATCTAAAACCTCTTCAGGTTAAGGGAACAGATGAGGGAACAATGTTACAACATGCTGGATTTTGCATAATGGCCCCTCTTTAAACGTATAAGAATATGTCATGGAAGTGGGTTGGAACCACTGCTGAAACTTTATTTGTCTGTCATCCAACATGAATGTCCATCCTTACCACTCTTCTGTGTAGCTGTGACTCCAGCTCTGTGTGCATGTTTCAAGTACAGCATTGTCTTCAGCTCTCTGATGTGTGTGTGGTGTGTGTGTGTTTCAGGTGGAAAGGCCTCCCTCCCCTGTGTCCCAGCTGCCCCCTGTTCCACCCAGACTGGACCTGCTGCAGCAGAGGCCCACTGCTCAGCCAGCCACAGGGAAGGTACTGCAGTCATATACCACTGTACATGAAGGACTCAAAGTACTGTCGTACTCTTACCTGACCAGTCAACAACACCAACCAGAGAAACACAGGGTTCAGTCACCTTCATAGTACAGGCCTCAGGTGATGAAGTCTTTACCAGAAAAGTTAGTAAAATAACATGTTGTAAAATGATGATCATATGCATGTTAGAAGATCTTTTAAACTTCCTCTGGCTGTGTGAGCATGCAGAGCAGGGCTAGAATGGCCCGAGCCGTTGTGTACTCCACACTGTGTCTAACAGTAGCTCTTGTGTTCCAGATGTCCGGCAGCCATCGGGACAAGCCCCTGCCTGTGCCCCCAGCCCTCAGAGAGCTGCCCCCCCCTCCCCCTCCGGAGCGCCCTGTTGCCGTGGGACAGAGGAGACCCTTACCCCTGACCCCGGACCAGCCCGCCTGGGCCTCCAACTACATGGTCCCCCGGCCTGCCACCAAAGCCCTGAGCTCTGTGCCTCCCCCTCCCCTCAACGGCAACTCCAGCCCCCACTCTGCCACCAACGCAGTCTACTGTCTGTCTGCCAGGTGAGACCCTGCCCTGTCTACTCTAGTAATTATATAATCATGATGAGGATTTTTAGGTCATATTAACTAGTCTGTGCATAGGCTCCAGAATATGCCAAGAACTGAGAGAAGAGGCTTTAGGGCATGGACAGGGAACTGTGTCATTCTACTGTTTTTGATGAAAACATTGAAGTGGCCTCACTTCAACTTTTTCTGCTCATATCTCAATCACAGGCCTTTTGCACTAAATAACAAATTCATCAAAGGGCCCATATTACACTATTATCTGATCTGTTATTATGTTGTTTCCTCACAAACAGTCCTGGAGTTGTGTTTTGTTTCATTTACACTTGTTTAACATGAACAAACCCTGCTTCTCTCAAACAGAAAAGCCCTTGTGATGTCTTGTGGTAATACAGGAAGTGTACTCCTTACACTTTTACTGAATCATTTGGATAATTTAAACCCAGTTTAGCTATTAACTTGAAAACTACTGCTTCATGACATCACAGTGTGTTCTCTATATAAATGGAAACCGTGAACCTGCAGGTGCAGTACATGGGGCACTTCCAGCTGTATTGACTCTGCCTCCAATTGATTTTACTTTGAAAAATGATCATCCCTCTTCCTTTAACTGCTGCTGAGAGCCTCGTTATTTTGATCTTAAAATGTTCAGAATAACCCTCTCGACATGACCCTCATGTTCTGGTTTTTGTTATTGCCTTTTTGTCCATAGATAAATTCACTGTCCAAGTCCAACATATCTGTTCTTATAGCTCTCTTCTGTGTGGCTGTGACTGTGTGTGCGTGTTTAAAGAAGTGGTATTGTGCTTGTGTCTGTTATATATGATGTTATGTTATAAAGATGCCACCTGTTGATGTTATAATTTGAACATTTTAAATCCCAGTGTTGATCTAAAACAGCTTAATAAAACAAACAATTCCTCTGACTTCTGTGTTAGAAAACTGACGTGAGCTGACATCACCGTAAACATCATGTCAGGTTTTTTTTTTTTCATTTTTACCAAAATAACGATGCAACACTGCCTACGTGTTTACATGTATCACCGATTAAGAAAATATTGGAGAACAATGTACATACGTCACAGTGAGCATGGATTGGTGGCTGTGAAAATTACAGTTGATCTTGAAAGTAAATGAATAAAGATTACTCAAACTTGCATGAATCACTCCAAATACACGTTTGAGAGGGTCAGTGGGAAGGGGAATCGATTCAATTTAGCTGATTTATATTCTCACAGGAAAATAAAGAGAACAGAATAGACTTTGGTTCTATCGTGTGTTGGTGCTGTTTGTGCTGTTTGTGCCACTGTGGATTAGACAAATGTCACCAGTACAAGCTCTGCACTATTAGACTGTGTAACTGATTGGAGCAATAACTGTTAACGGCACGACCCTTTAATGAAAGTGCCGTCTGCTGACACTTCCTCACATAAGAACACATGTTGGATTGTTTGTGGTGCCAGTATTGTTGTAACTTAAAGAAAGAACACAGCGGGAGTGTAATAGTCCATCTGGCACTGCCTCTGGTGGCCTGGTGGTGTCTGGGCCAGGGGGAGGAGACACTGAACACAACGCAGCGCTCTGATTGGCTGCGCCCCTCCCACAATCTGCCCCACACATCCTAAAGGAAAAGTACAGAGGGCACTTGGGCTTCATCATAACTGAGAGCAGGGCTGGCGTGGTGTCACGTGATAGTGTTGGTACATTTATTTCAATATTGTGGTTTGAACTCTTGTATTCCACAATATGACTCTCTTGAGTTTAAGCCATGTTAGAATGCTCTTACCTCTTACCACCTCCTCTGCAAAATGCTCTGCTCCACCTTGTGATGTCATGAAGTGGTAATATTTAAGTTAACAGCTACATTGGGTCTGCGCCAAAAATCGAAAGATCAATAGCTTGTGATCTGAACTTTGGTCGATCTTGATGATAAGGCCAGAGCATTTTAATGGACAGATCTATAGCCAATCATGTGGTAGTAATAGGGCGTGGTGCTGAGGAGTCACCGCTCTCTTATCGAGGTGAAACTCTGGAGTTATTGGTCCTATCAAAGTGAAATCAAAACTGTAGAGGTCCCAACTTCTTGTTTTTATGCCTAAAGTCCTCTTACTATGTTAAAAAAAATCATGCTTTCCCCCCCATATTGGTTGAGTTTGATTTTTTTTCCATGTTATTGAAAAAAACATGGCCCTAATCTCTTTTTTACCTTTTGTTCAGTAGAGTTTATCAATTCCAGTTCTGAAATTATGATTAGGTGTATGGTGTGTTACTACATGACATCACAAGGTGGAACAGTGTTTTTTGTTTGAGAGAAGAACTGCAGTCTTTGTGTGTTAAACATGTGTGAATGAATCAAAACACAACTCCAGGTCTGTTTGTGATGAGGAGACATTATAACGTAGACTACAAAAAACGTAAAATGGGCCCTTTAATTTTGCAAGGTTATAAAATTCCGATCTGGACTTCTTTAAAATGTGACATTGTGCTGTTGATAAGGGTCATTCCCCAAGCCCCTCAGGTCTTGTCCCGGCACAGAGGGGCGCCAAAACTCATTACTTTTCTGTGAAATGTGTTAACTATCTACAACAGCAGGGGGTGCTAGAAGCTAAACCTCCAGACTGAAAGTATGATCACTGGTCTCACTGGTACTTTACCTGTCAGCTCTCATCAGAATACAGTAGAACCAAAAGGAGGTTACTGCATTTTTCCACAGGGCTACAGGCCAGACTGCTTTCTTATTTCTATATTATCTCTATTTGCTCTTGTGTGTGCAGCTCTCTGTCCAGTGCTGAGCGAGCAGCCTTTGACTCTGAGGTGAATGAGTACATGAGCCCCAGCTCCCTTCCAGCGCCCGGGGCTCCTGGGGGCGCTTGGTTCCTTGGCTCCATGGTCCCTCCAGCCCCCAGTCAGATCCAGCCAGCGCCTGACACCAGGTACTCTTCTCCTGCTCTGATTAGTGCTGTTTACAACCTGAATATGCCTAATAAAGGTTAAAAAGTTTTGGTTATATGGAGCAGCTCCCTTCTTGTGGGCCCCTAACCCCTTGTATCCTCTCCTTTGTGTGTTTCTGTGAGGGCCCCTAACCCTGTCCTCTGTTTGTGCTTTAGAGAGAGCCCCTAACTCTCACCTCTGTCCCCTCTCCTCTGTGTTTCAGTGAGGGAGCAGACAATGACTCAGAGGAGCCTCAGGTCTATGAGTCTATGTCCAACATTCAGGAGCGCTGTGCTGCAGAGGACCTGGCCCTCTCAGGTAACTGCAGGCCTGGACTTTGAGTAGATGTGACAGAAGAGGTCTGAGAGCACTACTGCTGTATGTTTGGGGAAGGCCCTGTCTCTATGTGCTGTCTTCCAGATGCTCTGTGCTCAGCGGTGCCCCAGGACAGACCGCAGGACTCTGGGCAGGAGGACGTGTACGAATACGCCATCCCCCGACCTGTGGCCACTCAGACCCCTGTGACCCCTCTGACCCCCCCTGTGGCCGCCTCACGGAGGACTCTGGCAGAACTGGACACGCCTGAACCACTGCAGACCTGTAAGTGAGAGCTTACTGTATGTTTAGGGGAAGAACACCTTTAGAATAAACAACGGGCCTAACTGCATGTACTGCATTTCCATTTTCATAAGTAAGATTTTTACTTTAATCACGTTTAACAGTAAATCAGAGGGGAAACGTCAGGAATGTCTAGCACTTCACAAGAATGTAAAATTTAATATTATAAATATTTGTAAATCTATTCCACATTTAATAAGTAAGAAAGACTAATGTCCTGTGTACAGAGAACTACAGTGTCCAGTCAGATTGGGTGTTGTTTTGGGGGTTACATGTTCAGAACTGCTCGCTCATTCGCTGAGCCTGCAGACAGAAGCACAGGGCCAATCAGAGTCTCTCCCTGCAGTTGATTGACAGGCAGAAAGTTGTGCTAGTGCAGAGATTGGAGCAGTGGTTGCTGGGAATTTCTTGACAGTTTTATTAATAAAAAATTGGGTGAACTCTGGCTTTTGCTCACTATCCACTTTACCTCCTCTCTAGCCTTGACAGGAGCAGAGGAGCCAGAGCGCCCGCCCAGGCCCCTCCCCAGACGGGCCAACTCTGAGCGCTGTCCTCCCCGCCCCGGGACCCCCTCTCGTCAGAGCCCCACCCCCAGTCCGGCCCTCAACGGGGAGATTGAGTGCCTGCTGTCTCAGGGCTACTCCCTCCAGGATGTGCAGAAGGCCCTGCTCATCGCCCACAACAACCTGGAGACAGCCAAGAACATCCTGCGCGAGTTTGTGTCCATCCCCAGCAGCGCCCATGTGGCCACGTAACCCCCACGTAACCCCCCAGACCTGTGCCCCCGAACCCCAGACCTGTGCCCCCGAGCCCCAGACCTGTGCCCCAGACCTGTGCCCCTGAGCCCCAGACTGTGCCCCCCAGACCTTTGCCGTAGAGCCCCAGAACCTGTGCCCCCTGAGACTTGTGCCTTACCCAGAATCACTCACCCAAAGCTGCACACGGCCCACAGCCTCCAGATTCTCCAACTGCTCTCACCAGGAACTGCTCCAGAAAAAAAACACCGGTCTAAACCGGGTCTAAACCAGATTATACCAAGTGGAAAAACAGTTCATTCTGAACATCTCAATTATTCACTGCGATGAGTTAGAAAGCACTTTTCACAAGTCAAACACAACCACTGCGAACTTTTGCTGTGTCAGTAATGCTAACAACTAATATTCTAACGCGCACTTACTGATTATGGGACAATATAAGGCTTTATTATTTCATAAGTGTCCTAAGACGAGACTAATTTTGTTCAAACACATGAAGAAACTGGGTACAGGGCCTTTAAAAATATGTCTTTTTCTCCAGACTCTAGACCACAGCAGTTAATCAGACCAGGCCAAACCAGGACTGTGCTCTGTGTAAACAAGGACTGGATTAGTTTCAAACCAATTCCAGGCCCAGTTCCAGGCCCAGTTCCAGGCCCAGTTCCAGGCCCAATTCCAGGCCCAATTCCAGGCCCAATTCCAGGCCCAGTTCCAGGCCCAGTTCCAGGCCCAATTCCAGGCCCAAGCCAGGCCCAAGCCAGGCCCAAGCCAGGCCCAAGCCAGGCCCAAGCCAGGCCCAAGCCAGGCCCAAGCCAGGCCCAAGCATTACGTGACTACATTTGCTGTAAGTGCGTTCAGCTGAGGCAGTTGGAGACGCAGTGGTATTTGTGAATAAGCTTAGCCCACCATGTCAGCATTCTAAACAGGTTTGGTCACCCCCTTCAGGAGGAGTGCAGGCACTGTGTCGTGGAATTACAATATAGCATTTTAAAGGTAGTACATGTACCATGGCCTTCTGATCTGAAATGCAGTACAATTGCAGGTTCAATTGAGATGCCATTAGTCAACACACGATGTGGACAGAAGCTGAAGTAACCAAAGTGAGGAGCACATTCAGTTTCTGGTTAGAGAAATCTGGGTTGGGTTTGACAAAAACGTGCATAATAATATTGAAGTCAATATTTGAAAATGTTTAGTTCATATATGAGGAGTCAGATAAGAAAGGGTCCTACATGTACTGCCTTAAACAAATATACCACATGTATGTTATGTGTGAGCTCCTGTGGCTTTAACGTCTACAGCTCTGGGACAAACCACACACTTTTCATGTTTTTGTGTGGGATGCAGATGTGGAAGGCCTAACTGAGAAAACCCATGAAGGATGTATGTCAATGTACCATTTTTATACTAATAATGCACAGTGAGAATCCTGTGTTTAACTCCACACTCCTGGTCCTTCCTGGACTCTGTGGAACTGGACTAAACCACTCCTCCTCCCACTAACACTGTTTCTGTGCACAGTCAGACTGAACCACTCCACTAACACTCACTACGGTTACATACACACAAGGACACCTGACCTAGTCCAGTCAACCCGTTTATCCAAATGCAGCAACCCAGAACTACGACTCAGATGTCATGAATCGAATCTCAAAGATCCCAATAACACGTGTGGAGAAGTCTGTGTGCTTGGATGGCTGCTGCATGTAACAGCACAATGCCATTTACATTAGTTTGAGTACTAATGCTAAATTTCTAGATGTCCTGGAACGCCTCGTAGCCACCTAAACCTGTCATACACTCAAAGACGGACTGACGGTGTTTCTCTCTGCGTGTGAGTGTAGTGAGTGTAACTCTGCACGTTTGTGTGTGAGTGTAACTCTGCACGTTTGTGTGTGAGTGTAACTCTGCACGTTTGTGTGTGAGTGTAACTCTGCACGTTTGTGTGTGTGCGTGTGAGTGTAACTGTGCGTAACTGTGCACGTTTGTGTGTGAGTGTAGTGAGTGTAACTGTGCATGTTCAGACTAAACCACTCCTCCTCCTCCCACTAACACTGTTCCTGTGCGATGCTTTGGTTTAACCCTGACTCTTTCACTGTCCCTCTTTATGTCTGAGGACTGAAGACTTGTCCTTGCAGCTACAGTGAGAGCAGGATTCTGATTGTGTCTGGGTCGTTGTAAATGTCCTATAGTGTGGTCCTACACTGTGCATTTAAAAAGTCTTAATAGAAATGGGAGCGCTGACGTCCTGTTCAAAACTCCAGGGCGAGCAGCAGTCCTTCATTTCTGTGTTTTTATTTTTGATAAGTGGGTGCATTACATTTTAAAAATGTATTTTATATATGACCTGGAGTTTTTCAGATAAGTGCCACAAAGTACAGAGCAGTGGCCGTAGACATAGGGGGTAGGTGAAAACAAGAATCTTCTGAAGCCTCAAATGCAGGACAATACAAGATTAAAACATGCACGAATCTATCAAAATGCACCTCTGAGTAAGATAATGATATAATAACCATTATGACATGGTTGAACGCTTATATAAGTTGAGGTAGCATAATATGATATATATTTAACATACAAAAACATACCTGGAGTTGTGTTTTGTTTGTCTGACATCTGAGGTCTTCTGCAAAATGAGATTGTCTCCAAATCCCTAAACACTCCCAAATGCTTCACTCAGATGGAAGCAGACCTCCCCAAGGAGACCTATTTTGCAAAATCCTCTTTTTACCCTTGCTATTGCCGAGATGGCAAACAGAGTTGTTGTATTGAGTGATTTGTGCATGTTTGAGTAATCTTTATTCTTCTGTATTCAAGATGACATTGCTTTGGTACACGCCCACTGTGACTTATTCGTGCTCCACATGTATTTTCTTTAACAGTGATACATGTAGGAGTTGGCAGCGTCACATACTCATTTTGGTACATTTTTTAAATGCTCTTCTCTAGTGTGATGTGCAGCTATCCTTTGGAGGGGCCCACAGCACACGGCGCTTTGTCGTTTACCCTGACATCAGCGTCCGTTGGGCACCACAGTTTTCCTTCTTGGATTTCAGTACACCTCTTTTTTTATCAAGTCGTTTTAGCTGAATATTGCATTTTTAAACGTCCAAATGATAAAGTAATGACCCATACTATAGGACCTTTGCACTCTATTTGACTCAATATGGCGTCTCAGAACTGCTCTTCCCATATGTCCATTATTACACTTCTTATTGGAGATTGTCAGTGTAATGTAGCGGCTCTATATCCGGTAAGCCCTTGGTTAGTGGACCTTGTCTCTGTCAGACTATTGCGGCCTACTGGAGTTTACAACAGTGCTTTACCAGTGTATGCTACTCGCTCATTGTGCCTTCTGTCACTCACACAGTGCCCTCTGCTGCCCCGGAGGACTCTGTTTCCCTGAGTACGTTCTTTACATATCTATGCCACTGACGGGCCAATAGGCTGCGTTCACGTCATGCGTTCACCTCATGCATACATGTCATGCGTTCACGTCATGCGTTCATGTCATATGTTCATGTCATGCATACAGTGAACGTTTGCACTGGAGGGTCCATTGTAGAGAACAATGTGATACTGTTGTTCCTTCATCATAAACATACCTGGAGTTGTATTTCCTTTCATTTACATTAATCCAAAAATCACCTTTTCTGAGCCTCAAAAATGCTCAGTTTTTTTGTTTCTTTTTTGCCAGTTTTGTTAGTAAAGCATAGCTGTATTGGCATAGCATCCAACAGGGAAAAGGACTTTGTGATGGTTCATTCCTGTTGTTTATACAGTTTATCAAGTGTATCTTCTAAATGCAGACATTATTTTAAGTTAGAAAATGTGAAGTACTGATCCCAAAGCGACCAAAAACATGTTAAAAGGGAACTAAAGCCACAAGTATGTATCATACGTGTTCTTCACTGAATAATCTGATGCTAAATAATTCAGTGCAGATGTTGGATTTAGTGTGTGGCCCATAGCTTTGTGCCATTTTGGGAATAAGTCAAATGATGAAAAAGTTCAGTGTAATATTTTGTGAAAGTTAAATGAGGATTTTCCATTTGAATTAATTCTTTCAAAAATAACGTGGACTCCTGCCCTCCATTTGAACATGAAAAACTGAACGCAGCCTGTTGGCTCATGGGACTGAAGGCCAGAGGTTAACACGCCTACTCAAGCATTACATCATGATATTGTCATGTTATGTTGTGTAAATATATGTTTATTTATTTTTTCTTAAATGTCCTTTCTATTCATTGTTGCCATGTGTCTATGCTAAAGCCATTAAGATTTGTAATTAGTTATTAAACAGTATTTTGCGTAACACTGGAGCCTGACTCTTTCTTGTGTAATTCAAATAGATTTACTAAGAAAATGTTTAGCAGCTTATTTTTAACACTGTTTGGTTCTTTTTCTAATTGAATGGTCTGTTTTTGCGGTGTAGCATTTGACTCTGATCTATAAGGTTACTGGTTCAATTCCTGCAGATGTGTTCCTGGTTAATACATTACACCCACATGGTCCTCTCCAGTCACCGTGATGTGGCAGGGCTCCAGACTGTGTACACGTCACAGTACTAATGTAATTCACTTCATTCACACAGTAAGAGCAGTACAAAAGACAACTCTTTTCAAATATAAATATCTTCTTAATCCCATAAGAAATGGTAATGCTTGAAAGTTCTGTTTTCTGCCCTCCATATATCAGGATGCACCTTGTCAAATTTCAGGGTTATTTGACCATGTATGCAGTTACAGTACCTTAATATTTACAGTTACATCATTTCACAAATAGCTTTTCTTAAAAAGTGTTTTTTGGGCCCTGAGACCAAACGGGGCCGAGTTGGCGTTGGTCCTTATCAACTTGTCATTGCCCAAGATATAATATAACAGGAAATAATAGTAAAAAAAAAAAAAAAAAAGGTACCAAAAAACATCCTGAGGAGTGAACCTGGCTCCCAGCCTTTACCTACGAGTCTAGAATAGTAATAGTATCCATAGTAACTTGAATAATTTACACTGGGCTAAAGTGAACATAGAGTCATTGATAAGTGTATTATTTAAACATGTACTTGCACACACAAGCTCAACTGCAGATGCAGAGTCCTGGTCCATGAGTGTCTCACTGCAGTAACAAAAGGAGCAGATGCAGCAAACACTAAACAGTACCACGACACCGGCTCGGATTGGTCAGAGAATAGGTGGATTGTGTTTAAAACCACTTCATTCAGTCTTAAAGGGCCCATATTATTCTACTCTATGATCTACTATGTAATAATGTTTCCTCATCACAAACAGACCTGGAGCTGTGTTTTGTTACATTCACATAAACCCTATATATTCAGGGTGAGTTCTCTCAAACAGAAAACCTCATTTGGATGATTTCAGCCCTAGAATTGCCAAACTCTACTGAACTAAAGGTAAAGAGGAGCCGGAAACTCAATATACAAACTTGCATTTGTATATTGCCTTTCAAGATGCCCAAAGCACTTTACAGTTCACTGCTCATTCACTCCACACTCTGTGGTGTAAACTACTACTGTAGCCACAGCTGCCCTGGGGCAGACTGATGGAAGGGAGGCTGCCAATCTGCACCATTGTCCCTACTGACCACCACCATCACTCACACACCAATTTCATACTAGGCAAGGTAGGTGAAGTGTCTTGCCTATGGACACAATTACAGTTTTTGTGACTGGCGCCCCCCTGTGGCTCCTGATTTTCAGTGTCTCCATCCAAGTCCTGACCAGGCCCGGCTGAACTGACCAGATCTGACCAGATCAGACCGGTATGGCCACGAGACAGACTAACAATAAAAGATTACACTCAAATGTATGAAACACAACTCCAGTTGTGTTTTTGGGGAGGTAACAACATTCTTATATTGGTAAAAGCTCATAATCTTTTAGTGATCACTGAGAAGTACAACACAAGATAAGACAACACTCGTGTAACTGAGGTGTGACAGAAAGTGTCCAGAGCTGCTGCTGATCCAGAAGAGAAAACAAAACACAGACACAGGCAAGAAAATATGAGGAGTTTTTCTCAGGTGTAATTTAGTGTGTGGTGTGCCATGGAAAATATTTTAGTCCAAAAAGTTTAACACAACTCAAAACAGGTTACACTTTATTGTTCTGCATTTGACCCGCTCTTCAGTGCACTGGGCCAAAGCAGAAAATCTCCAGATCTGGAGCTGGTTTTGGTCAGGATTTCCTTAGCTGGGGGATTTGAACCATTACCTGCCCTCTTTTTTAATTTATTCATTTGTTTGGAAGGGCATCCAGAGTAAAAATTCTGCACCATCACAGCAGAACTTTTTTTTACTGATGAAGATGAAACTATTTGGTTGTATCATTTCTAAAAACATTCACAAACCTACTATAGGCATATTGGTATTGTGCCCTTGGGCAAGACACTTTCCTCACCTTGCAGCTGGTGAACAGGAGTGACAGTGTGGAGTGAATTCAAAGTAAAACCTGTTGTGTCGAACATAAACCTATGGAGGAATATTAACTGGTGGAAGAAGTACAAATACAGGAGTAAAGAAGTAAAAGTATCACATGAAAAAATGTACTTTAGTAGAAGTACTGAAGTAGGCCTACCTGCTTAAACATGTACTTTAAGAGTTAAAAGTACAAGTATTTCACACCAGTGTCACATTTTGTGATTCTGAAACAATTGAATTTTACAGGATTTCTCAGTTTTTCTTGGGGTTTCATTTGTATTTTTAAAATGAAACAAAACACAATTCTTGTGAATTATAACATAGATCAGAAAATACTTTAATATGGGCCCATAAAGTACAGTACAGTACTTTTACCTTCCAGCACTGGCGATGCATTGGTGTTCTTTGGCTCCTCTCACAGACACTCCCGTCTGCAGTGTGTTATTCCAGATTTGGGTTAAAATAACATTCTTGAGTATTTGAAGTGTCCACAGTGAGCAGCGCACAGTGAGTAGTGCTGTGTGCAGAGCCCAATGTGTTACAGATGTGAGAAACCTGAGCTACTGTCCGGACCACTTCCTGAGTCCTGTCCAACCATAACCAGCACACACACACGCTCAGTCCACACTGCACTTTATTTGGTTCTCTTCAATGCAAAAATATATAAAAAAGAACATCACAGTCAGTTTTAATTTACACACAAACAAAACGATAAAAAAACATCCAGGGTTGAACATGTTTAAATACTTTTCAAATGCCCAGAGATGAGCTGGAGGCTGTACAGAATGAGGAGGCAGGAGGACAGGACGTCCTGCTGCAATGGCACAAGAAGCTGCCTCAGTGAAAGCACAGCGTCCAAACACAGGTCAAACACATCACAGTGAAACAGGAAGTCTCCACGCACCTGAACACACCTGAACGCACCTGAACGCACCACAGACCCACCAGAACCTGAACGCACCACAGACCCACCAGAGCCCCAACATATTTACAGTTCTCAGCATAAATGAGTACACCCCACTGAAAAGTAACATTATACAATATGTCAATGGACACAAAAAACATTTGCAAAATGTGCACAGACTCATTTTAATACAGCATCTGCTGAACTTAGGACAAAAACAAAACAAAAAAAAAACAAAAACGAAGGTTAATAATATAACTTAGATTAAAGCAAAGCTTCATTTTAGGCTCCAAATATGTAAGCATTTAACCACAGGTCAGTCCAATGACTCATGTGTCCATCAGTCGGCTACAAAAGGATGTGACTTAAAGCAAACCCCGTCACATTTCCTGCTGTCAGCAATGGCCCCTAATCTAACTTAACTTATATTATTAACCTTAGTTTTTTGTCCTACGTTCAACAGACGCTGTATTCAACTTAAATTCTGTGCACATTTTGCAAATATTTTTTGTGCTCATTGACAAATTGTACAAAATCTTACTTTTCAAAGTAACATCCCATTAATGAAACTACTGCACATCGCATCAGGTTTGTCAAGTTGTAGTCTATTGTTTGTATTATTAAACTTCCAGTTCTCATCTGACAGCTGCTGTAACTGTGCTGCTGTGAGTGTGTGTGCTCAGGTCTGTGGGCCCCTGGACCAGAGCTGAACTGGGACCAATGGACCAATGATATGTCAGTGCTACACAACACAAGGGCCCTCAGGTGTACCTTAGGAGAACCTCTGTAGTACTTCTTAAAAGTACTACATAGGAGTACTTGTCAGGAGTACTTGTCAGGAGTACTTGTCAGGAGTACTTGTCAGGAGTACTTGTCAGGAGTACTTGTCAGGAGTACTTGTCAGGAGTACTTGGAGGGTGGCGTGGTGCAGAGACAGCAGTTACAGGCCCAGTGCGTCACCGAGCTTCAGAACAAAAATCAAACTATTTACATTTTCAGTCTTGAACAATGAACAAAGGAACAGGAACAGGGTAAGTGCCGCCAGACTGGTCAGCGCCCTCTTGTGGCCCCGTGGTCAGCTGAGGCTCCAGTGCAGAAAAGCATCATGGGAATGTGCTCCGGCCCCATCACTGTGGACAGAGGGCAGAGTCAGTGCAGTCTGAGCTGAGCCTCACACTGCTCACATTGTCTACAGAGGAAGAGCGTCTGGAGCTGCTGGTGTGAGCTACACCACACCCACTGTGCGCAAAACGAGGATATATGTGTAAGGAGCAGCTAACTACAGGATGTGCACTTCTGCTCCTGTCCTGAAGGGGCGCTGTACCTGTTCAGCGGGGGCCCTCTTGTCTCCGTTGACTGCTCTGAGCAGAACAGACTCTTCAGTCTTCATCTCCACCACAATGTCCTTAGCACTGGCTTTCTCTTTGGTTCTGCACAAATATGGATCTGTCAAGACTGTTTGAGGTTCCACAGGTTATACACATGAGTCAGCAGAAGTAATATCAGCTGTAGTAGTAGTAGTAGTAGTAGTAGTAGTAGTAGTAGTAGCAGTAGTAGTAGTAGTAGTAGTAGTAGTAGTAGTGTCAGTAGTACTCACATGCTCTGTTTGCCCGAACGACCACAGGGGAGTCGGTTCTTCTTGTGGAGGAAGTAGATGACGCTACCCAGGATGGCGAGCAGCAGGAGGCCCAGGATGATGACCACGATGAAGATACCACTGCCCTCAGCTGCAACCACAGACAAGATCTCCAACCAACCAGAAACCACACAGACAAGATCTCCAACAAACCAGAGACCACACAGAGAAGAACTCCAACCAAACAGAGATGACACAGGCTATCAGATGTAGTGAAGTAAAAGGAAAAAGTATCCACTTTACTTAAGTAAAGTTCAAATACCTGAAATGTGTACTACAATATTTTACAATTGTTACTTTATTACATTCCATCCCTTCCAACTTCCACACAAGAGACTAGTTCTGATGACCATCCATGTGCCACACTAGAGTTCTAAATGTCCTCTGCTCTCGTCTGAGTTCTTGCTGTAAGTAAAATGTTGTCGAGTGGAAAGTTGTTGTAGCGGTGGAGTTTTACCTGGAGAGAAGGCAGCAGGAGCCGTCACCATGGGAACTGTGGACAGGACACAAACAGATCAGATCAGCTCTCAGAGCTTTTGTTAACACGCCCAATCCACAATCTGATCACACTCTGATTTGTACACCAGACTAGAACACACCAGGTCTGGACTCACTGTACTTTGTCTTCCAAATACTTAGTCTAAAGTCTGAAGTTCACTCATTTACTGACACATAACAAACTTAGATCACATAGATATTGTTTTAAAAATGCAAAATCACAGAAGTTTCACTTTTATTTTGACACTCTGAATCCCCCCTTCCTTTGCTCCCCGCGTCACTCCCCCTTCAGAGCACTATCACACAATCACCGTACATCTCACATTGCTTCAGGTTTGTGAAGTACTTTGTGAGTTGTTTACTTTTTTTTTCCATTTGTGCAAAAATGGCTACGTGACACTGCTGAATCCTGTGTGTTTTTGCCTCCCTGTACCTGCTTTGATCTGTGTTTGTCTGGGATGGGCTGGCTGTACCTGCTTTGACGCTGAAGAGCCTGGCGTCGGAGCCCAGGTCGTTGGAGGCGTTGCACACGGCACTGAAGTCTGCGCTGACCCGGACGGACACGACGCTGAGGGACGAGTGCGAGGAGGAGTGAGAGACCACCTCCTCCCAGCTCTGCACAAAAACAACAACAACATCTGCACTTTTAACAGGAACACCACGCTTTGGAAGTTTGTCTAATTAAGAACAACTTAAGTGTCAGTTTGTGGCAAAAAGTAGAGAAGAAAAGTACAAAATACGGCAAGATGTGGTGTAAATTTATACACAAGTTAAATTTTTTTGGGGGGAGTTTAAACCTTCATCATTTAACACTCAATTACTGTATTTGTTAAATCATATGAAACAGTTTGGTCGGTGTCCACACTATGGTTGTGGTTATGCAGTTAAAGGGATGCAACAATATTCAATCGTTTGATACTGGTGTCACGATTTGATACACGTGTTTGGTCAATAATACACACATGTACCTCCATACACGCTCTGCTGTCATTTATTTTGGTCTGAAAGTTAAACAGTTCTTTTGGCGTCCTCCTCAGACGCAGCAGAAAACAGCTCCACAGGGACTTACAGCTGAAATATTTGAACAGACGAGGGTTTGATCTTTACTCACTTTTTATTTTACAGGGATAGACCCAGGAATGACAAAGAGATTAACTTAAATTTTTTTTTTTTAACCTTAAAATCACTTTTGGCTTTACATCAGCTTTAATCAAATGCACTCGTATACACATACGGGACGCGAATCACGTAGACGCAATCTATTTCTTCTCTGAAAAAGGTTGAGACATTTCTGTGTAATAGAACAGAGTCTGAGTGTTCAGAAAGTAGATGTTAGAGCTCAGTGTGTGTAAAAAGATCAGGTGAGTGTGGGAGGAGCTGCTGAGGAAATCATCATCAAAAAAGGAAACGCCTGAGAAAGTACTGTTCTTATTTTCACTGAATCAAAATTCTCAGGTGTAAATCATTGAACCAAATGAACTAAAACACTTCACATATAAACTCCAGCTGTACAGCAGTTGTTGTGTAATGTATGTATTGTTTCATTAATATCGTGTCATTATATTATACTCATCAGCAGAAAAAAAAATCACGTGTTTCTTTCTCGTGTCGTATCGACATCAGATCAATACTGTGACCCCTGATATGTATCGACTTGTGGCAAAAGTGTATCATTGCATCCCGAGCACTTATGGAACTGTCTTTACACTCGTCATATCTACAGGTCGTGTCCAACCAGGAAGTCATATTCTAAAATTTCCAGAGAAAATAACGTTGAACTTTGTGCTGGTTTTCTGTGTTTTGTTTTGTATGGACAGTCCCAGTAATTACAGAAATATTAACAATAAACAGATCAAACATGAGCAGCCTGACAGTTCAGCAGGACATTTGTCCAGATGATTATTCAACACTGTGAGGATCAGTTTGAAGCAGGTGGTACGTGGGATGTGTGTGGGTTGTGTGCGTGTTGTGAGTGGGTTGTGTGTGGATTGTGAGTGGGTGGGTTATGCGTTGGTTGTGTGTGGGTTGTGCTCGGGTTATGTGTGGGTTGTACTGTATGTGGGTTATGTGTGGGTTGTACTGTATGTGGGTTGTGTGTGGGTTGTGTGTGGGTTGTACTGTATGTGGGTTGTGTGCGGGTTGTGTGTGGGTTGTGCGCGGGTCACACCTGGGCGGCAGAGAGGCTCCAGGTCAGGGTGGGAGCGGGGGATCCTTGGGCCTCACAGCTCAGGTTGAGCACTCGGCCACTGGGATGCTCCAGGCGCACCTCCTGCTCCGGGGACTCCACCTGTGGAGTTCCTGCCCACAGACACACACACACACAGACACAGACATGTCAGTGCACACAGCTAGCACCACAGCAGCCTTTCAAATACAGCAGTGGACAGTTCTTTTCCATGGGGCCACATGAGAAACATAAAATATTGTGGAGCCAAAATGCTTAACTCAATTCTTTATAAAAAGCAGTAAATCTCATTGTTCGGACGAGCTGCTCAGACTGGGGAGAGTTTATATCAAGACAAGCTAACAAAAATGTCACTTAAAAACATTTTTAAAATCACAGGAATTAAGCTTTAGACCATGAATGAGGTAAAATGATAAAATATGTTTATTTTGTAATTCCAATTTGGTGTAAAAGGACCGGTTAGAGTCAACCAAAGGGCCGTATGGGGCCCGGGAGCTGCACAATGCCCAATACGCAGCCTGCGCTCTCTTACAGTTTAAAACAAGGAGCAGGTGGTTTTCAGATTCTGAGATGATGTTATAGTCCCAGATGCGGCACAAGAGCCAGACTTCCCCATTGATTACACTGGACTTTCTGAAGAAATATCCAAAAGGTAAAAGCACAAAACATGAGCCTGATTCTTTGTGTTAAAGAACATTCATTTTAGCTGCTGCTCATTTGAAATGCTATTGGTCAATAGAATGTTGATGTGATCTGAGATCCACAGGACAAGCCTCATGTAAAAGATCAAAACCTTCAGAACTCCCTCCCTGAGCTGCAGAGGCTGCACTAGCACTGACTCATGACTGAGAGAAAGAGTGAGAAAGTGACCATTCAGAGGCATTTAAATCCAGATTTAAACTAACTGGATTTCAGCGTTGAACCTGGCAACCCAAATGATGGTATGATGCCCAAAGTTTTATTGATTAAGAACAAATCAACATTACAATTGTTAACTATATATTTACCTTGAATCTATTGACACAGATAGTTTATAAGAGTGTCTGTTTATAAGTTTATAAGATTTCAAATCAAAATCTTACATACATTTCCTTAAAGCAGTGGTTGTCAAACATTTCACACCAAGTACAACCTAAGATAATATTTGTCTTTCTGAGTACCACCAGATCTACACTAGAACTACATCAGGCCAAAGCAGAACTAAACATGAGGTAAAAATGAGACTAGACCAGGAAAATTGAGACTACACCACAGATAAGGTCAAATATAAATATGCAAAGCATTATTATGAAGCATATGTGCAAACTGCAGGGCCCATGTACCAGGCAGAGCGCACACCACAGCTTGAGAAGCACAGGTATCACTGGTCAGTTCAGTTCAAAGTGAAAGCACCAGGAGCAAGTCTCACCATGGACGACGATGTGCACAGAGCTCTGGGTGTGGAGAGCGGGCAGAGCGGGCACCGTCACCTCGCACACATACTCCCCCGCCTGTTTTGGTACGACGCGTCCTGGAGGAGCAGACTGGAGCCTGTGCCCACCACGTGCCCACCCTCACAGAGGGCACAGACAGAGGGCACAGACAGAGGGCACAGACAGAGGGCACAGACAGAGGGCACAGACAGAGGGCACAGACAGGGGGCAAAGGGAGGTTAGGGCTCTGTGTGTGGTTGTATTTTAAGAGTTGCAATTGGATTTGTCATTTTACACACTTCCAGGGGCAATTATATTTGAGAGAAAACCCAAGAATCACAGGCACTTCAGAATTTATTTGTGAAGGTCTAAACTCCAGGTTTAACAGTTTATACTTCAGACTTCATGGTGATGCAGGGACATTAAAGGAGACATAAAATGCAAAAATGACATTTTTGACATAACATTGTTTATTTTTCATAGATTCATAAAGACACTGTTCCCTCATCAAAAACATACCTGGAGTTGTTTTTGCTTTATTCATGTTTTATGCGTATGATTGTGCGTGTGATTGTGTATGTGACTGTGTGTGTGAGTGTGCCTGTGATTGTGCATGTGTTTGTGCGTGATTGTGAGTGTGATTATGTGATTGTGCCTGTGATTATGTGATTGTGCCTGTGATTATGTGATTGTGAGTGTGTTTGCGCCTGTCATTGTGCGTGTGTTTGTGCGTGTGTTTGGGCGTGTGTTTGTGCGTGTGTTTGTGCGTGTGTTTGTGCGTGTGTTTGTGACTGTGCGTGCACGTTGCGGCTGCAGACCTTGTACCAGGTGGTGCTGGTCTGGAGGGAGGACAGGGCGTTGCATGTGGCCGTCAAAGCTTCTCCTCTGTACATGATCTCGGTCTCTGCTGGTACCACCACTGCAGCATCCAGGTCTGGAACACAGGGGGCAGTAGTGAGGGGCTGGGTTCACATTCTACACTCCCTGTAGTTTAAATGTGATACTTTGCAGCTGATGTCATCAATATTCCCTGGGGCTAACTGTAGGCCCTGCTCTGTCTGACCAGAAAGAACTGATTTAGTCGGAACTACAACAGGTGAGATGATTTGTTAAATAAGTGGGGTCCGCTGCCTATTCCGACATCCCTCCATTACGACATGCCTCTATATAGACGTGCCGGTTTTCCTATTCCAACACATCATATATGTTGTTCTCCGCAGATATCCTACATGACCCAAAGAAGCACAAAGGGTCCACGCAGCCTCCATTTTAGATTTGATATTTTCCCGAAGGCTGCCCTCTGCTCTTTTTTAAAATGCATGACTGCTTCCCATGGCGATCAGTTTGGACATTTTCCTACTGTGGCCGAAGTATTCTCTGATCAAGACCTTTGCACTGGTCCAAGCATCTTATGATGTACGGGAGCACAAAGTACAATACATACAGAAATATGATTCATGTCAGAAAAGCAGAAATATTTAGAAAAAATAGTAAAGTGCTGCTACTCTGACTATGAAAAAAAAGTCAAAGTAGTGGAATGCTCGAAAAATAATGTTTATGCCGCTAATTCGACAATTAGACGTCAATGTGTAAATAGCAGATGTAACCTACACGAGTCCCTCTCCAGTCACATTACAGTCACAAACCAGTTAGCCAACAGTTTTTCAGTGAGTCACTTTCACCTTTTTGTTCAAAATCAAATTCCTAAATAGGACCATGAATCTAATCTAAATAACTTTTTAGACAGTGTTTGTTCATGTGTGCATTGTGTCTCTGTGGTGCAGAAGCTGCACTAGCACTGACTCATGATTGGCTGCAGTTGCTGGGGTTTTAGGGAGAGACCAATCAAATCAGAGAGAGACACTTTAGGATTTCAGCATCGAACCTGGCAACACAAATGATTTCTGTTTTCTGATTGGATAATCACCAAATTATAACTTACTTATAACAACTTGGGCATCATGTACGATGTACAAATTGTTTTCAGTGAAAGCTATTTGATTTGTATCTGAAATATAAATAGGTCATGTTTTTTGGTGATCAAAATCTTACATACAGTTCCTTTAAAAGTCCTGTATGATGCAGAGTTGGCTCTTGTGAGTTTTAGGCCATGTAGGAATGTTGTAACCTCCTCAAAAACAGACCTGGAGTTGTGTTTTGTTTCATTCACACATGTTTGAGTAACTCTTTATTATTAGTCTGTTTACATCTCCAAAGATCTAAATGCTCTGTTCCACCTTGTGATGTCATAAAGTGGTAGTTTTCAAAGTAACAGCTCATTTTACCTTTCGTTTAGTAGAGATTGCTGATTCCACATCTGAAATGATCCAAATGATTCTAGTGAAGGTGTATGGGGTTTAAAAACACAGTGGAGCACTTCTTGTATTATCACATGACATCCCAAATTGGAATGGAGTGTTTTCTGTTTGAGAGAAGAGTCTAAATGTGAAGTTTTGTGTGTTAAACATGTGTGAATGAAACAAAACACAACTCCAGGTCTGTTTGTGATGAGCAAAGTGAGTCAAAACATTTAAAGAAGCAAAATACAAAGGACTCACAGTGCACAGTGAGCTGCACCTCTCCCTTGGCGTCAGAGGAGCTGTGTGGGTCTGTAGGGCGGCACTGGTACAGACCGCTGTCTTTACGGGACACAGAGGACAGGATCAGCACGTCCCCCCGGCTGTCCAGCGGGATGTCCGGCTGCTGTAGGACACATGGGCTCAAGTTTAAGTCAACCAAACACAACCAGACACAACCAGACACAACCAGACACACCAGACACACCACACAACAGACACAACCACACACAACCAGACACACAACCAGACCAACACACAACCAACACAACCAGACACAACCAGACACAACCAGACACAACCACACAACCAGACACAACCAGACACAACCAGACACAACCAGACACAACCAGACACAACCAGACACAACCAGACACACAACCAACCAACACAACCAGACACAACCACACAACCAGACACAACCACACACACACAACCAACACAACCAGACACAACCAGACACCAAACACAACCAGACACAACCAGACACAACCAGAACACAACCAGACACAACCAGACACAACCAGACACAACCAGACAGACACAACCAGACACAACCAGAACACAACCAGACACAACCAGACACAACCAGACACAACCAACACAACCAAACACAACCAACACAACCAGACACAACCAGACACAACCAGACACAACCAAACACAACCAAACACAACCAAACACAACCAGACACAACCAGACAAACACAACCAAACACAACCAGACACAACCAACACAACCAGACACAACCACACACAACCAACACAACCAGACACAACCACACAACCAACACAACCAAACACAACCAGACACAACCAGACACAACCAGACACAACCAAACACAACCAGACACAACCAGACACAACCAAACACAACCAGACACAACCAGACACAACCAGACACAACCAAACACAACCAAACACAACCAGACACAACCAGACACAACCAGACACAACCAGACACAACCAAACACAACCAAACACAACCAAACACAACCAAACACAACCAGACACAACCCACACAACAACACACAACACACCAACACAACCACAACACAACCAAACACAACCAAACACAACCAGACACAACCAGACACAACAACACAACCAACACAACCAGACACAACCACACACACAACACAACACAACCAACACAACCAGACACAACCAACACAACCACACAACCAACAACCAAACAACACAACCAAACACAACCAGACACAACCAGACACAACCAAACACAACCAAACACAACCAAACACAACCAAACACAACCAGACACAACCAGACACAACCAGACACAACCAGACACAACCAAACACACACGGAGAGTGAGATGGTGATAACACACCCATCGTGATCTCATCCCTGTGACTGTGTGTTTTTCTGGTGATGTGATATTGTGCTTCTCTGTGCTCAAACACACACTCCTCACACACTCCTCACACACTCCTCCAGTTGATCAACCTCCCTAATGCTCTGTGTGAGAGACAGGCCCAATGAAAGAACACACATTTTAAATCACAATATTCATCTAAAACAACTTCATATAAGAAACAAGTCCACTGACTTTCATGTTAGAAAACGTGGTGTCCAATAGGAGCTGACGTCACTGTAAACATCATCACAACAGAGTCAGCAACTCATAGCCACAGATCACATAGAGCAGCACTTTCTTTTTCATTAGTACCAAAATGATGCAACGCTGCTCAATCCTACGTGTACAGCCTGTATAAAACTGTGTATAAAACTGTGTATAAAACTGTGTATAATACTGTGTATAAAACTGTGTATAAAACTGGAGGAGGAAGTGTGTACAGAGAAGGGGCCATGTGCCAGTGCAGTTTGATCAGCAAAATGGTGTTTTGAAAATAAGTGATTAAAGATTACTCAAACATACATGAATCACTCTAAATACAACAATGTCAATGATCTGATATAACCAATCAGATGCAAGCAGATGATTTTATTTGCCATTTAAAGGTTTTCTAAAGATACAGAGTCTGCATGAATCATAATAAAGTCCTGGTATTATTTCTGGCATATCGCCTCCTGTGCATGATACAAGAATCCATCCAGACAAAGACTTTCTGTGGGATTTAACCCTCTCCAGGCAGGCGTTGCAGATTAGCAACAGCTAAATTCCAATTACCTACTTACTCCACATCCATATTTTATGAGCTTTTTTTACTCAGGAGCCTTTTCTCCCATCCATGTTGATAAACGTGGACAATGCAGACTGTGCAAGAACGGCTCCACGCAAACGGCCTGCCAGAAGTGCAAAATACTTTTTTTGTTCACAAAGGTTAAAAAAGTCAGAATTGTATATTACTACCCCATATTATAATTTTCCCCAAATATCAGATTTTTCTTGATACTAAAAATTTATTTGAGCCTGAGAGGGTTAAGAAGAGATAATTATCCTTGTCTCCCATGGGAGAAGAAAGAACAGTAACAATACTGTTGTGAGGAGAGTCATACTGTCCTAGATGAGTCAAAAATGAACTTGTATGTACTCAAGTATAAGTACTCATGTACTCAACACTATTGTCCTGTGACTGATGCTCCCTTATCTGTCCTAGTGGTGAGAGCGTTCTGGAGCCAGAGCAGGGCCCAGACTCACACTGTGGGACTGTCCCCTCACAAAGGAGTGTGTGACAGTGGACTGGCCCCCTCTGAGCGAGACCCTCCGGACCATGGGAACACATCCTCCCTCATATCCTCTCCACAGACTCTATGTATCTCTGAACATAGTGAGCCCGCTAGTCGCCACGTTCCAAGTGAGCATGGGTGTGACATGGTTCCTTCGAGGTTTGTTTCCTCTAAAAAATGGTGGCCCCTCACTGTACCTGCTGCTGTTTTTATTGGTTTCTCATTCTGGACTTAAAATGTTCATATGAACCCACGCTACATCATCCTGGTGTTTTTATTTCACTGTTTTATGAATCATATGTACCTCTTTGTCAAAGCCTGATCTCGTCTGATCTCTGAGGCGGAGCAGGGCGGGGCCTGGGTAGTACTTGACTGGAAGACCGCTGGCAATACTAAAAAACTGTTGTTGTGTCCTGAGGCAAGACCCTTCACCCACATTGCCTAGTGAATATACTGTGTGTGTTGGTGTTGGGAGGAGCCGATGGTGCAGACTGGCTGTAGCTGTGGCTCCAATAATCTTCCCATAAGAGTGTGGAGCGAATGAATAAAACATGAAAATATAAAGAGTAATGCATTATCATGTGTTTTAGTGTGTGTATAATCCTGATTATTATTATCAAAGTACGAACACGCTTAATTTAACAGTCGACTGGTCACGATTATTCCACCCTACGGCCCCTCACAGCCCCTCACAGCCCCTCACAGCCCCTCACAGCCCCTCACAGCCAGCCTCACACACCTCTCCACCATAACAGCCCCTAATCCTCGTGTTGGACCAGTCTGTGCCACAACTCAAAATCTCCACTAAACTAAAGACTGCAACAAGTGACACCAAACTGCACTGGAGCTCAAAAGCCTTTGTGTGGGGCCCCCTGCTCTGTGTGCTCAGTGGGGCCGGGGCAGAGGGGGTGAGGAGATGGCAGAGGGGGTGTGGGGGTACAAAGGGGATGCAGAGGCAGTGCATTCTTACTTGTTCTCTGGTGAAGATGAAGGTGGGCGGGGGGTGTCCGTCCCCCTGGCAGCGCAGCTCCACAGTGTCCCCCTCTCGGAGCAGCCCAGGCGGAGACTCCTTCCACAGCTCCACCATGGACGTGGGGTCTGCACACAGCGCCAGGGCATCAGGAATAATCACAGCACGTGTCCTCGTTGATTAGACACTAGACCAGGGGTCGTCAACCCGTGGCTCCGGAGCCGCATGTGGCTCTTTAGCACTCCCCTAGTGGCTCCCTGGAGCTTTTTCAAAAATGAGTGAAAATGGAAAAGGAATGATTTTTTTGGTTGTTGTTTTAATCTGGTTTCTTTAGGGGTAAAACCCTCGTTCATCTCTGGTCATGGATCTGATCCATCAGCTGTGTGTAAATGAAACACATGAAAAGTGTTTCAGCAGAACAAATAGATGAACTGAAGCGGGGGGTGGTGTCCGGTGCCTCCACCTGAGAAGCGCTTTCCCCGAAAAAAAAAACAAAAAAAACATGGGCACAGACGGACGCTCAGAACAATATATAACGAACCAAACGGGATTCACGCTTCTGTCCAGATGCTTTGCACCACCTCGGAACCAGCCACGGTCGAGCGTGGAGGACCGGAGCAGCCCGCCCGGACCTGTGGCCCACAGCGCATTCTCGCTTTTCCCGCACGGAACCAGCGCACAGATGACTGCACTGAAGCACTCGGACCCAGTCCTATGCGCTCTGGTCTTGCTCGCCCCCGTCTGGAACCAGGACATGGAGGACGAAGCCTCTGGACAATCTGACCAACACTGGACCCCAGCCCCGTCTTGAAGAGCTGCGCGCTGACTGCCCCGTGTGTTTGGCGCTGCTGCCCGAGCTCAGACTCCGGGCTGATGTGCGGTGAGTTGCGTACAAAGTTCTACATGCCGCTGAAGAAATGTGACTGCTGCTCTTAATACTTCCATCATCGTCGTCATAGCAACAGGTAAACGTCGGTCGCACTTTTGGCACGTCAGCTCCTAAAACTCTGTTTATCTCAGTTTACATGCAAATGTGAAACTGGAGTTTTCTAAAATCTCCACTCTAGCCTGAGTTTTTAGAAAGCTTCGTTTTCAGAGGCAAATTCACCGTTTCCGTGTAAACGATGTGAACAAACGAAGGGAAATGTCTCAGTTTTTAAAAATACCCGTGTATATGTAAACGGGGCCTAAGAGGGTCGCAAAAGGGGTTTGTGTATCATAAATGCTCATTTTGTATTTGTAGCCTACTTAGTCATTTTAATAGTCGGCTTATATAGCTAATATACTGACAGCCTGTGTTGCCTTCATATTAGGCTTATATAAGGCTTTTAATTTTTTGCGGCTCCAGGCAGGTATGGTTTTTGTTTTTTTGGGCCAATATGGCTCTTTGAACATTTTGGGTGGCCGACCCCTGCACTAGACCTTACCTTATGTGACACTGACTTCTGTGAGCGTTTAACCAGTGTCCTCATGAGTTTACTTTAGAGGAGTGAGTGATGCATGTTTGAATGAGCCTGTGTTGTGCGACATTTGAAGCTTGAGTCCTCCTAAAATTTCAACTACCCCCTGTCCCCACCTAACCCTGTGTAGCAAGATGGATTCTCATGATATGTGTGAGTTCACAAACTCACGAGACTCCATCTAGAGCAGCTCCTGTTGTATGGTTTAAATTCGACCCGAGCAGTGGTCGGTCTGATCACAGAGCTTCTATGGCAGGGGGAGGAGTTTCAGGAACATGACGACAACCCCGAAGGTCAGGCCTACACCACAGACTGGATATATTTATATATACTATTGCAGAGACATGTGTGGACACTCACAGTGGACAGAGACATGTGCGGACACACAGTGGACAGAGACATGTGCGGACACTCACAGTGGACAGAGACATGTGCGGACACTCAGTGGACAGAGACATGTGCGGACACTCACAGTGGACAGAGACATGTGCGGACACTCACAGTGGACAGAGACATGTGCGGACACTCACAGTGGACAGTGACATTGACGGGGCTGGATTCCAGGCTGCGCTCGCCCCCGGGCACAGAGAAGCTGACCCTGCAGGAGAAGAGAGCGTCTCTGGTTTCCTTGTGGACGCGCAGCAGCAGAGTGTTCTGGACAGTGAAGAGACCAGAGGAGGAACGCCAGTGCAGCACCAAGAACTTCACCTCTGAACAGAGCACACAGAAGAGGAAGAGAGAGGAGGAGAGAGGGAGGAGAGAGGGAGGAGAGAGGGAGGAGAGAGGGAGGGAGTGGAGAGCAAGATGGAGAGGGAGGGAGGGAGGGAGGGAGAGGGGGAGAGAGAAAGAAAGAGTGAGAGGGGGGGAGGAGAGGGTTTTCAGACTGATATATGTATGTATTTTTTATACAGTGGGTCAGTCTGGTCACTTTAGTAGATTAAATTGAAGTAGCCTGAGAGCTGGAAGAAGAGGATTATGAATAAAATCACATTTCTCTCTCTTCAGAGGTTAGTGATTCTCTCATTGATTCTGCAGAAATCTGGGACCTTTTCCAGTCCCCTGTGATATGTTTGCTTTTTTTTTTCCTCGTAAGCAGCCAGAGGCAGGTAGAGGGGCCAAAAAATGTACTCAAGTAAAAGTAACATTACTTCAAAATAATATTACTCAATCTATTTGGGAAAACTGCTGCTCAAGTAAGAGTCGAACTGTTGGGATGTAACATCAGATTTATAATTTCAACTTCATGTAATTGTAAGTATAAACCATAAATACTGCACAAAATCTGGTGTTTTCAAAGGATCCAACACAAAAATGAGACAAATTAAATCATATCTGAAGGAGCTGCAAGAAACCCGTCTCGTTTGAGACTCAAGTGTGTACTCTGGAAACATGTACACAAGCACACACAAAAGCACACACTAGCCACAAGCACACACAAACACACACAAACACACACAAACACACACAAACACACACAAGCACACACAAGCGCACACAGGCACACACAGGCACACACAAACACACACAAACACACACAAGCACACACAAGCACACACAGGCACACACAGGCACACACAAACACACACACACAAGAGCACACACAAACACACACAAACACACACAGGCACACACAAACACACACAAGAGCACACAGGACACTCACGGCCTGGGCTGGACTCGAGAAGCTCTCCGTTCTTGTACCAGGTGATGTTGGGTTTGGGGAAACCATTCTGAGCCTCACACACGGCGATCTGCAGACAGGGACAGACAGGTGAATGTACAGACATGTATGCACCTTCAGACAGGGACAGACAGGTGCTGGGTCAGAGGGACAGACAGGTGCTGAGTTTGACAGGTACCTTTGCTGGTTGTTCTTCAGTCACAGATATTCCATGAGGAACCGCCTCGATGACTGGAGCTTCTGGAGGAGCTGCTCACAGACAGATCCACATATGAAGGTTACAACAATAGAATTCTGTGATGTGATGTGTGAAATCGAATAAACAGATAAACTCGGCCCACAATCACATTTCAAATAGAGCTACTAACTTGGGCTGAACCTGGAGGACTAAAGGAGACAGTGAGGAGTGAGGAGGGGTGGGGTCTAGAGGAATAGTGAACAGTGTGATTGGTCTAGCAGGTATGCCCACTTTAAACTCTGCCCCTGCAGACAGGTGTTTGTATCAGAAATACATGTAATGCAGCTACCTGTAAATGTATCTAGTTTGTACTTAAGTTACTAAAAAAATGACCTGGAACAGCAGATAATGCTATGAAAGTCCCACATGCTGTAGTAAATCTGTGGATTTACTGTGTAGTTCCACTTTAATAACACTTCCTGTTTACAACTTGATGACATCACAAAATTGAGCTGAGCCTAAATATGCATATTTGTGTGTTAAATGTGTGAATAAAACAAAACATGACTCCATGTGTGTTTGTGATGAGGAAACTACATTACAACAGAAATCAGAAGATAGTGTAATATGTGTGAATAAAGTGCACCTCACCGTAGACCCTGAGTGCGGTTTTGCCCTCGGCGCTGCCCGCTGCCAGCCCGTTGACCTGGCAGAAGAACTCCCTCTGGTGGTCAGACAGCCTCACGTCCCTGATGGTCAGCACGCTGCGGTTGGTCTCAGAGATGACCTCCAGGCGCTGGCTGTACTCCGTGTTGTTGTCCACCAGCTGCTGCTCGCTGTCCCCATAAAAGACCCGAGCTCGGGAACTGTTGCCGGGAGACCGCTGCCCACACAACAGAGAGCAGGGTATTATGGTATGTTTAATGTTATTTATGTTCTTTTGTTTTTGTGAAAAATGTTGCACATCTTTTTAATAAATCATTGTATAATGTCAATGTGAACTCAACACAATTCTACTTTTTAAACTGTTTTAGAGAAATTCCATTTCTGTGCTGTATCTCGTGCACACACTGCCAGCTCAGTCTCTGTTATCTCACTCTGCATCATCAGATGTATAATACTCCCTACAACAGAGCTAAACTGGAGCCTTTTCCCTTCATCTCTTGGGCTACTACTATCTTTTAGTATCCGACAACAAACACAGCCACAAATCCAAACACAACACTACCAAAAATCACAGTTTGATGTTGCAGCTGTAATGTCACTCGTCTCTAGAGTTCTGTCACCTGTCTGTCACCTGTCTGTCACCTGTCTGTCACCTGTCTGTCACAGTCTGACAATCTTAACCAGTCACTGCTCAAGGCTGCACAATATATCACAATCACATCCACATTTTGAGTTGTATAGTAGAATGTGTTTTTATAGTAGAATCTTCTTAAATGTCCCTGTGTGTCAGATGCCCTCCCTGTGTCTCCGTGGGTCTCTAATGTCACTCACCACATTTGTCATTAGTCAAAGTGACTTTACTCTTAAAGACACAATGTGTAATTTCATGGAAGTGTACGTGCATGATTCCATGGAAATGGTAAATTAAAACGACACTTGGGAACATTCTCCATGGAGATAGATTCGATTACAGCCAAAGCAACACCATTTCCATAGAACCCAGCAGGAGGTGCCTCCTCCAGGCCAAATGAGATGCAAGTGCTCACAGTGAGGACACGTGTTTGAGTCCAATAAACACGTCAAAATGAAAAAAAAACCCATCATTTTGTTAGAGTCTATGTTTATGCCTGTGTAATCCCTTAGTCACCCAGACTCCACTGCAGATGAGAATTCAGATCTGTTAAAGGACTAAAGTGGTGGACACTGGTGGACACTGCCTTGTGTCTACCTGAGGGGCTGAGGGGGAGACTAACACTAACTGCAATCTCGTGTTACTCCAAAACCTGTGTCCTGTTCTCTCACGGAGTGACGTTTGAACATGAGATACACAACAGTTGTGCTGTATATGTATGGTGAAGTTTTTGTAGTTTAAACCTCTACAAACATAAACTGCAAATCTAAACACATTTTCACTACTAGACCTGTCCCCATCATGACTCATTATGTAAGGGAGAGATGAGCATCATTTTTGTTCTGATGATAATTGGACTTTAGATTATTGTGTCAGTGCTATTCATTAGTTTCAGTATTATTGTTAATCGTCTATATTTTGTTCTATATCACATTTCAAAATGTGTAATCATGACTTCTGTCTGCTGAATTCCGTCTCTCACCAATCTGAATACAACAGTGATGTGCAGGTGTGTGTGTATGTGTGTGTGTGTGTGTGTGCGTGCGTGTGTGCTCGTGCGTGCTTGCGTGTGTGTGTGTGTGTGTGTGTGTGTGCGGGTGTGTGTGTGTGTGTATGTGTGTGTGCGGGTGTGTGTGTATGTGTGTGTGTATGTATGTGTGTGTGTGTGTGTGTGTGTGTAATGTTCTATCCCATCACACTCACCACAAACCACTGCAGCATAACGAAGGGGGGCCCCTGGCTGCTGGGGCCGAAGCTGTAGTCACAGGGGATGAGAGCGGGGGCCCCCAGGAGCACCTCCACACTGTCCTGCACACTCAGCTCCAGCTTGGACCACACTGCAACACAACACACAACACACAACACACAACACAGAGGACACACAGGTCAGCATGAGGGACCAGTGGGATGAAGTGAGAGTTCTGCTGCTTCAATCAAAGTCAGAGTAACGTCACTTCAATAATAATAATATTACTCAAGAAGAAGTAGTGGTTGAAGAAATTACTCCAGTAAGAGTACAAAAGGAAGTAATTAAGAGTAATTTAAAGAGAAACTGTTGGGACATAACATCTGATTTATAATTTGAAGTGAATGTGAAGGACAAAACCTTAAATAATGCTCAAAATCTGCTATTTTCAAAGGATAGACACAAAATGAATCAAACTAAATCATATGTGAAGGAGCGCCGCCAGAAACACTACACAAAAGTACAGATACCTAAAGTAGTACTATGGGGTATTAACTGCATGTATTATTGTAGAATCTTAGAGTTAAGCATAAGGAGGGTTAGGACAGGGCCTGGGAAAGATCGCTAAAATACTCAAACATCTCATTTAAAAGCTCTTCAGCATGTTGGCTCTTCATGTTTGTGATGAGTGAACAATGTTATAACATGGACCAAAGCTCCAAAAATCTATTTAGCATAATACCCCGACAATACCTCCTCTTTAGTACAGTACTTTTTGTTTGTATTTCCACCACTGGAGCAGAACTGTGTGTAAGTGGCAGTGATCTAAGTCTGAATCAAAGTGGGCTGTGTGCAGACAGGAAATCTGCACTTTAAGCTCAAGTAAGCCGCAGTAACCGCCAATAAACCTGGCTTTGTGTTTGGCCCCACAACCAGAACACCGTCCCCTCAACAGCACAAAACAGGTACAAGAGTTAAGTAGGAGGGGCCCTGGGTCAACCACTGCTCTTGAAAGACTGCCTTTGAAGACTGGGTCAAATGCAGAAGCAAAATATAGCTCTCCGTCAATCACCTGTCTCCCTGCATTCCAACATTCACAGGACGCATAATTATTGCTGTCACTGTACTTTTAATACTCAATTCCGATTCTGAGCATTATACACTCAAAATCTGATTCCAATACCACGATGATAATAAACAAACTCTCTTTCTTTGGACAATAGAATGAGATTTTCAGTGTTAAATTGCTGTATTTTCTTTTGGGGATGCACTGATCCAGGTCTTTCTGTTCTGCTGCTCATGTCTGTACTTTGTTTTTAAGTATCTGCTGACAACTGACATCAACTGACACCAGAGCACAGACTGATCATATCATTTATTTACAGCATAAGGTAAAAATGATTCAAATGTGTTTTGTAACTACACAATGGCTTTGTAAAAGTTTAATATGAGACATTTTATGCCAAAACCGACCAGTAAATCATCTTATTTATAGACGAACAACCTGTATCGACTGAAGCATTATCTTGGAAACTGATATCTGTATCGGTGCATCCCTACTTTCATTTCTATTTTATTTCCTTTTAAATTCTGTAGCTTTCTAAGTTTCTTGTGTTGTGCTGCTTACAAATTATGCTCGTCTCAGGTAAGGAAATAATTCATATTTCCTTATTATAATACAGATGTTATAGGACATGGGGAACAAGAAAAAAAATTAAAATAGGATTTCATAGTAAAGTTCTGTGAGCAAATGAGGATTATATTGATATTCCATAGTGAAAAAATGTGTGCAGCCTCGGGAAGTTCAGTAACATGACAGAAACAAGAGAGAGGGAGCTGAAGATTTTTTGGTGTTTTTATATAAAGGCAGAGTTTAATATCTCACCTGTCTGCCCCTCGAGTCCCCTCACCTGTCTGCCCCTCACCTGTCTGCCCCTCCCGTCCCCCTCACCTGTCTGCCCCTGCTGTCCCCTCACCTGTCTGCCCCCCATCCCCTCACCTGTCTGCCTGTTGGGGCTTGCCGTGGTTCAGATGTGGTCCGTAGGCGGGCCTGCTGTGTTAATCTGGTCTGATCTATGAGGGCAGAGGATTTCCTGGACAAAGCCGGGCTCAGATCCTCTTATCTGCTGCTGTTTAGTCTCCAGAGATTTTATGTGAGGAGCAGGAGCCCGCAGGAGCTCACGCATGTGTGTGTGTGCTCAAAACACACCGTTCAGACGCCAGTTCAGAGCTGTACTGTCAGCATGCTCAAATTTCAAACCTGATTTAAGGAATAGACCCAATACTCAAAATGATTCCCCTTCCACAAGGACAACAGAATGGGATTTTCCACATTAAATGACAGAACTTTCCTTTCTGTTCCCCTGTGTCTTTGCCATATGTGTGTGATCCTCAGTGGTGCAGGTAGGTTCCATAGATCCACAGGTCCATGGGTGTATAATAAGTCTTGGTGGTTGACTCACAGACTAAAGCAATGGACTAAGGAAGTGTGACGTCATCCACAATGTGGACATGAGGCTACAGTTATGGGGCAAATTTGGAGCGGAGTTTCATATTAATTTATTTATGGACAAAATAGCGAAATAAACCCCCCAGGATCATGTATAGCAAGTTAATACAAACATTTTAAGACCAAAATGAGGAGTCTGACAGCAGCAGTTACAGAGGAGCGACTTTTTATTTTTATTTTTTTTATGCAAAGTGAATTGGATGAATAATCTATGGAACCGGACATGTGCCCGTGCTCACTTCTTGTTTGGGTGTCATATTTGTTCTGATACAGTTGATTTTCTACCCCATTTTCAGTTGTATTTGAGTCAAATTAGTGATGGGCGAATGGAGCCTCGTGAAGCATTGACACCTCAATCGCAATATTGTCTCAAATGGTTGGACGTGTCTGAGGCCTCGGACAAACACTGACCTCTAGTGGACAAATTTAACCATTGGCACGATGCAGGTGTCTCAGCATCGATGAAGTATTGTTAGTGTAAGACAATAGTTGTATGCAGAGCGACAACGCACCTATCAACAACAATAATAATGATTTAAAATAATATGTAAAGAGCAACATAAATAACATGCTGTAAATAAGAAAAGAGGTGTTTCCTTGTTAGGTGGAATTAGATCAAAGTGATCCCAAACCATGGATCGCTTTTTCCACTTGTAGATGCCATCGAAATTGAAATACCATGCCAAAAGTTGCCAAAATCACCACTAACGTCACACAATACTCCTCACTACCAACATTTTTAAGAAATATCGGTGCATCTTTTATACTGTATCAGTTTAGTGCTTGTCAAACCACAGAAGTGCGCTGAACACTCTGAAGCACTCTGAACCAATCACAGAGCGGAACATTCACTGAGCCAATGAAACGCTTCGATACACTGAAGCGACTGACACGAAGAGTGAAGCAGTAGGGGGAGGGACCGACATTTCCACACTTTGGTCACGTGAGCGGCTGCTGCGAGTCGAGCTCCAAGGCAGTGCTTCAGAGAGATTTGTCTCAGAAAGAACGAGATGTGCTCCGGAGCTCCGACTCATTTGTCCATCATTAAGTAAAATGCATCTACTAATTATAAAGTGTTGCACTGTCTGATAATCAGGAAGTGCACATTAGTATTCTAGTTGTTGTTCGCTTTACAGTCGTGGCCAAACTCCACTCTGGTTTCTGGTGAGAGTTGTGAAAAGTGCTTATAAACTCATTTCAGTGAATCATTAGAGTGAAGGAAAGTAAGTAAGAATGAAATGGACCAGCCTCAATAAAGAAAAAACAAATACTTAATGAATCATTTTATCATCATCTTGTAACTCATTAGTACCCTAACCCTTTACCCAGAATTAAACAGTGGGTATTATCCAAAATTGCCTTTATGGAGCTTTACTCTTTTCTCTCTTCATAAGCTTACCTTTAGACCAGACCAGGGCATTCTCCAGCTCCCAGACCACATACGGCCATTTGGTTGACTCTGACCAGCCCGTTTAAGCTCATTTGGAATTACAAAATAAACAGAATTTATAGGGATATAATAATAACCGAAATATTGTGCTATCGTATTGCCAAATTCTCACAATAATTTTGTGGTCACAATATACTGAATCACAGGTTCCTTTGCTTAAATGCAGGTTTTATAGTAGCAACAGCTTATGATCATCGGGAACTACATGTCCCATGATTCATTTCAGCGCAGACAACATGAAGAAACATGTATTTTACTTGAATTCTTGGGATTATTGCAGAAATAATTTACACCAAAATCTTGTCAAGGTATTTTAAAAGCAAAAAAGTGTCCCATCTATAATTATATCAGCCTCTTCAAAATATCGCAATGAATATCATATCGTGAGATTTGGATGTTGTTACATTCCACACATATACTAATATTTTATAATTTGACCTCAAGCATGGATTAAAGCTGCATTGCTTTCATTTTAGAGGTGTTTTTTAAATGACATTTTAGTTTGATAGCTTCACTTTTTCATTGCTGAATCAGAACATAAACTCTTCCCAGTCTGAGCAGCTCGTCACAACAATGACATTTACTGCTTTTAAAAAAAATAAAATAAATACAATTAATATTATGCAGAATTGACTTAAGCATTTTGGCCCTTCACAGTATTTTCTGTTTTTCATGTGGTCCCATGGAAAAAAGAATGACCCTCTCCTGCTCTAGAGGCTTTAGGGTTTAGTCGCCCATACATGTTGGAGTATTTTAGTGATTCTGTCCAAAGCTCCACCCACAAGCCCATATCACCCATGTCCCCACACAGCCATAAATACACCAAAACATGACACAAAACAACACACTACAACCTCACAAGTTCATTAGAAATGCAGATTGTGTTGTGATAATGACATAACACAAAGAGCAAAGGGAGGGAAACTCAGTCAAAAATGAAAGTGAAACTATATTGAGGTGTCATAGTTTGAATGTGAAAGATCCCAAGAACACGTGTGCAGAAGCCAGAAAATACTCAGATACCGAGTAGACGTAGTAGTAGTAGTAGTAGTAGTCGTAGCAGTAGAAGTAGTAGTAGTAGCAGTAGTAGTAATAGTAGTAGTAGTAGTAGTAGTAATAGTAGTAGTAGTAGTAGTAGTAATAGTAGTAGTAGCAGTAGTAGTAATAGTAGTACTAATAGTAGTAATAGTAG